CATATATTTTATTTTTTGATTTTTCCAAAAGAGATGGTCATATTTGTAGTATTTATGTGCTATAAACTAATTATTGTTAAGAACTCAAGCAATCATCTTAATGCTTATTGGTTGTATGCATACATGTAATTATTTGGTTTTATTACGTCGGATGAGTTAATTTCTTCCTAGTCTTGATTAAAAAAAATAATGTAGGGAATACTTCACTAGCGGATAAGTTAACTACATGCACAACAGTCCACTGCTTCGTCTATAATTGGTTATAAACTGTGAGTACTTATTAGCTATTTAACGTGCTAATTTTATATATGTATTCGTAGCGTCTTAAATGTTAATTTTGGAAAATAAAATATAATAAAAAAAAATCAAAATCAACTATAAGATTTAAATTTTGGTTGCGGTTGTTTCCCCTCTTTTAATGTTCGTTCTGGACAGGGGCGGATCCATGAAAAAAATTAGGGGGAGCTCAATTACACAGTTTATTTAACCTCCAGCCATCTAAGGACCTTTAGCTTATTATTCATGGTGAAAAAATTTAAGGGGGTGCTCAGGGGGTATCCATGGGTCTTTTGGGTGTAGGGGGGACTCGAGTCGCCTTGCACCCACGTTGGATCCGCCCCTGGTTCTAGATGCAGATCATCTTCCATAACTGCAGGTAAAGTTGAGACACGGATACATGGACATATATGTGGTATTTCCAAGCGCAGTAACGGTATTGAAAATTTGAAATGTACTGTATGGTGATCTGATCCGCTGCGTCAATAAAATCGTTTTGAGGAATCAAACCCTATTTTGTAGTTGTCGGAAAGGCAGAAAAGAAATTATAAGATTGGACGGTGGAAAAGCAGCCGTACTTTTTATGCCTTACTGTAAAAGAAAAGGATGCTCTTAAACTAAAAACTAACCAGGTTAGAAAACACTTTGTTTTCCTTTTTCTCTTTGGAGACGGTTTCATCATATCGGCCCTCGGGTGCACCAGTCCTTGGAAGATTCTTTGCTGGAGCAACAGATAACATATGGAGAGGAGATAAAAGAATAAGAATATTTAAAGAACTAACCAGTTCTATCTAAACAAAATTTTTTTTTTCAGATGGATAGATGTGAATAATCATGGTCCTGTAAGGTTGATCGGATTTAACATATCCGTCAATAGATGCCGGCGAGAGATTCTCTCTTCTCCTTTGCAGCAGAGGCTTGCTTGCTTTCGTTTACTTTTTCTATAAAAAAATATTGTTTGTTGATTATTCACTCTCTCTCTCTCTATATATATATATATGTATACATATATATATATACAAGTCAACGCAATAGTATGAAGGTGCTTTTCAACGCTCCGAGATTTCTCTATTCCTATTGCTTGATAGTTTACCTAATTATCATTAATTATTCTATTCAGGAAATGGAACATTGTAACGTGAAACATAATGTAATCAAGTCTAGAACCACAAATTAGCTGAATAATCAAGTAAAATTAATTAGATCGGCCGCTGCACCGCAACAGTTCGTGGGTCTCCTCAACAACGAACAAAGCAGGCGACAAGGTCGTATTCCCCTGCACCGAAATTTCCAGGCATGTACTCGAGTATTTGCAATAATTCTACTAACACTCTAGACATATCACAAGCCCATACTCAACCAGTAAGCAAATCCAGATAGGTAATCAGACATGAGTGATATGTGGACTCGATCCGTTAGAAAGTCCCAATTAAGCATCATTGCACGTCAAGCTGAATCTACTAGTTTGTAGTGCATGTTGATCGGAAGAGCCAATGAGAACACGTAGTGACCTGTGCATGTCACCTGGCTGTCAGTTCATCATTAGCGCGTAATAATACGTTGAATTCTTCCAAAAATGATGGCTGCAAATCTGGCTTTGAGTTTAGGAAAAGGCACGTCGGCAGCTAACCGGCAGCTAGGTGCGTGTATCAACGATGCTCTCGCTTGCAGCTTGCTGGATTGATCTCGGTTTTAGAAGTCACAGAAAAGGAGCTAGTATTAGTAGTAGCTTCTCTAAAGCTAGCTGCTTGCTCTCTTCGTCTATCCACCGGCCGTTTCACTGTGTCTTCGATTCAGATGGCTAATCTGTGATGCTTAGTGTAGCTGATCAGTATGCTAATTAACATTAGTGAGGGGGCGATGTGAGAGAGCGTTGCTATGGGTACCAACGAACCACATCTCTGAAGTAACAAAAACTCGCTGCATCTGATGACTTTCAGAACGAGGAATTCATCAGAACTTCAGACGCAATGTCACTTGATTTGGTACACATAGGATTTTGCTGACCAGAGATTAGTAATCTCTTCTATTAGCAGCACGCTGATTCTACGCGACTCTTCACCTGGACGGAAAGGCTACGGAAAGAGGAGGAAAAGAAGAAAGTTGATCCTGGCGAAGCAATGGACAGGGAAGAGGTCAACCAATAGCAGTGAATGCATGGTCCATTTCAAATCAAAGAAAAAGAGAAAAGAGGCAAAGCCTTGCGCTAGCACTGCACCATCATACCATGTCGATCTCACCGCCTGCTCGTGCGTGTGTCTCTCTGCGCATTTTCTACAGTGAAGGCCACTACCGATGCATGAGCCCTAGTGGCAGTGAGCAGAGCACTATATGTGCAATGGTAAGCACAAACAAAGCAAAGCACCTCCATTGACCCAGCTCGGTTTGCCGGCCAGCAATCTCTTTCCCAGCAGCAGTAACTGGCAGTGGCTATACCTGCTCGATACTACTTCCTCCGTTTCACAATGTAAGTCATTCTAGCATTTTCCACATTCATATTGTTGTTAATGAATCTAAATAGATATATATGTCTAGATTCATTAACATCAATTTAGATTCATTAACATTAATATAAATGTGGGAAATGCTAGAATGACTTACATTGTGAAACGGAGGGAGTAGTAGTAGATGTTTATTCAAGTGGTTGGAGTAAATATCATTGATCGATCAGTGCTTTGATATCGTTTTCGTTCAACGTCGAGTGGCCTCCTCCTCCTATTTGGGAGATGAGGGCATTTCTGGCAGTAAACAAAGTAGTATTGTATATAGAAATATAAAAAGGAGGTCTGATTCTGTCTGCTAGCTTCCAGCTTTGTGATGAGGAAGTTTCAACCGACGAATTAAGATTGTTTATGTAGGAGTTCGTGGTTTGGTTAGCTCGATCGACTGATGCAGAACACCCCATGCATGAGGCCGACAGGGAATCCAGATTGGAGCAGCTAGATATTTCTTCCTGACATCAGTTAAAAACATGGTGCGTGCTGCTTCTGCTTACATCTCCTGTACGCGTGCAAATACACCAGGATTACTGACAGGCAAAATGTTGTACGCTCACCACCTTTTTTTTTTTCAGTGCCGTAATCTCGCTTGCTTTCTATCCATTTCTTGGTTTCTTGTCCGTTTAAGGAAAACTCGCGGAAACCTTCTTAATCCGAGACAAAATCGGGCGAACCACATTGGACGATCCGCGATCGTGCACGAGCATTTCCAGCGAAAAAAACTCGACGAAGTGGGATCAAAAGGCTCGCCTCACCGGCGTGAGTGCACGGCGCACTGACGAAAGAGAGAAACTGACGAGTCCCTGTTGATCGGCGAAGCATCAGTGCTGCAGCTGATCCTACTACTGGCGAAGGCAAAGGCACCAGACGCCGTTTCAGGAGCAGTGACCAAGCGATTTGCACCTTACAAAATAAAAGAGAAATCGTATGGTGCCATGCCATGGAACATGAAGTGTTTCTGTGCAGCAGGCACAGCCAACTTGTGATTGCTGGCTAGGTTGGCATCACCACCACCAACTAATATTCCTCTCAGGGTCTTTGAATATATGGTTTTTAGTTTGTACAGTCCATATTGGGGTGTGCGTTTCTACTGAGGACAAAGATAAAGTTAGGACACGAAAAACAGAAAAACCATTCACGCATACTTAATTGAATTTAATTATTACAAATTTGAAAAATAAATTTATATTGTATTTTAAAATATTATCTATATTGAAAGTTTTTGAACGAAATATACTGTTTAGCAGTTTGAAAAATGTGCTAATGTAAACCGAGGTAAAATCTGTATCTTTAGAAATGAACTTGGCAGGATTGAGTTAATCAGTTTTACTTCCTGATAACTTCTTGATCTATTGTTCAGGTCATGTGTGCTAATTTGACTTGTTCCCTCGGTGTTCTTTCTTGAATTCTTCAGACTTCAGAGATAACTGCAATACTGTTTACTTTGCTGCCACTTCATGCTAATAGGCAAGTCAAGAGACTAATGAAGAGAAAAAAAGGAGGCAACACAAGAAAAGGCTTATCCTAAATGACCCTGTTTGCTTAAAGAAGGAACTATATGAGGATTTTTGCTTAGCTGTGAAGCAACAGTGACGGTTTTTGCATCAAATTGGAGAGTGAAAGAAAAGAGAGAGGAGTGTGCAATTGTGCAATGGTGGTGAATCTCCTGAGTGGAGAGTCAATGTGGACTCTTCTGAGCTTCAAAAAGGATGGGATGGAATGGTGATGGAGCTGATGGGACATGCCAAAGCCAAAGCAAATCGTATAAATACTCTCTTGTTTATGGAATAAAATTAAGTGGGGCATGCATGTGAGGCAGAAAGGCATAGTGCTCCCTGCCGCCCGTCTCCTAACTATGTTTATCTCCCTAGAATGTAGTTTTATTTTTAGCTCTTGTTTGGGACTGGATATTACTACTAAAAGTAGGGGGAGTTGAGCAAGTGGTTGTGGAAAAGTACACCTGATTAAGGTAGGTCATTGGTGTGCTTCCTAGGATGACTAGACACTCACTTAGCTTGTATTAGTAGGAAGCTAGAATTAGTATTAGTCTAATGCGACAATGAAAAATAAAGTCCACTTGTTTTCTGCAAGAGGGGTATAGCTTTGAGCCTTTGAATATCTCATACTTCACATTCTGTGCTCTGTTCAAGCAAAGTGAGAACCTGTTGGTTAGATTCTAGATAGCGAGGGAGAGAAAAAAACAAATGAAAGATGCTACTGAGCAAATGGGAATAACTGAGCTCGTAGACTACTTGAGTAATTTTTCTCAGGAATCACTCTTGAGCACTCATTAATTTATCATTCTCTTGTCACTCCTCACAATCATATAGGAAAATGGCGTATTGATATCTTTCATTTTCAGAAGTTTGCTTTGCTTTTCATAAGACTCAGTGAACATGACGATTTCCTTGCAAATCGTAGCCCAATCAGTGTCAAAACCATACGGCCCAGTGAACAGTTTTAGTCCACAATGCCATTTGTGAGGAATAAGTCCACTTTACCTCCCTCATCTCCTACGCTTGTGTGAATAAACCGGGTATAACACCTCCTTTTTCTCTAAAAACCAGAGCAAATCACCTCCCTCGGTGGTTTCGGAGGTGGTTTTGTCCAACGTGGAGGCGGCGCTCGGCGTGCGTGACGGCGGGGGCGGGGACGGCGGCCACGGCGCCGCCGCCGGCGCTGATGGAGTCGCCGAGGAGGAGGTGTCCGAGGCGGCCTCGATGCGTGCCATCCTCTCGGTGTCGGTTTCCTTGTTGCGGAGGAAGATGAGGCAGCCGAGGTGGACGCGGTGCATCCACGCGCGGCCCTCCACAACACCACAGTCCATGTCGGCGAGCACGGCGAACACCTCCGAGATGAGCCCCGTCCGGCCGGCCCCTGTCAGCTCCAGCGCCGTCAACCCCTCGAGCGCCATCGGCCGCGTTGGCCCGTTCCACATCCCCAGAGACTGCAAAGAAGCCATGTATGCCATCAGAAAATCCCAACTCCGTCGAACACTCGTGCCAGAATCAAGAAACCACCAAGAAAACCCACCAACCTGCTCGATGTAGGTGATGACGCTGTCGTTGGTGAGCTTGCAACCGAGGCGGTCGGTGACATGGAAGACGTCCATGAACGGATGAACCACCTCCCATCAGACCAGATGGCGCGAGCGACGGGACGGCGGGAACTCGGCGGGAACGGCAGGAGCGATGAGGCGGCGGTGGGAGCGGCGGGGCGGCGGGGGCGGTAGGAGCCACTGGGCGGCGAGACCGCGGGAGCCCGGCGGAGCGGTGGGAGCGGCGGGGCGGCGGGGGCGGTAGGAGCCACTGGGCGGCGAGACCGCGGGAGCCCGGCGGAGCGGCAGGAGCCACTGGGCGGCGGGACCGACGGGCTCCATGGCCATCTTCGTCCCCGATGGGCGACATGAGCGACGGGGCTCCATGGTCTCGTGGAGAAGATGGCGTTGCAGCCGGGAGGTCGTGGCCGGGCGGGCGCGAGGGAGGAGCTCGCCGGGAGGTCGCAGCCGACCGGGAGCCGAAACCAAGATCGAATGTTGTTGGCTGACTAGCAGGGGAGGAGCTCGCCGGGAGGCCGCGGCCGGCCGGGCGCCGGGAGGCCTTGGCCAGCCGGGCACGGGGGAGGAGCTCGCCGGGAGGCCGCGGCCGGCCGGGCGCCGGGAGGCCTCGGCCAGCCGGGCACAGGGGAGGAGCTCGCCGAGAAGCCACGGCTAGTCACGTGTGTTGGAGGAGCTCGCCGGGAGGCTGCGGCCGGCCGGGCGCGAAGGAGAAGCTCGCCGGGATGAGAAGGGCGCCGCCGCGCGGCCGAATCGGCCTCCGCGCGTGCGGCTGCGAGAAAGAGAGAGGAGGGAGGAAGAAGATATGAAAAAATGGGGCTGACAAGTGGGCCCCACCATTTGTTTTATTTTAGCATTTGTCACTTACATGTGGGACCCACTTCTATTTTTAACCTGGCTGCCACATCAGCACATTTGAATCAAGTCAACCTGCCACATCAGCCTAAACCACTTACAAAACCACTCAAAGAGTCGATTTGCACCGGTTTTGGAAGATGGGGGAGACGTTATATCCAATTTTGCGTTTGAGGGATATTTGTCGACCAAGGGCGATAGATGAGGGAGGAAAATAGACTTTGCAGATGTTCATTCGGCCTAGGCCTTAATTTATTATTCGTTTGAGATAATGGGCCGGGCCTAGTGTGAAAGCAAGCTTAAAATCACCTTCTCAATGGGCCCAATAATAATATTATGGTGCTCTAACTCTTCCACCCAGTGACCCAATTAAAGTACAGTAATTTAGCTGAGATTTATCGCATCAATTTATGGACGCCAATCAGGAGACGACCCGGTGGCCGATGGATCAGCAGTTCACGACTTCTCGGCCACACAAAGTCAGAGAAAGAGCCAAAAATGAAGAGGAAAAAAAATTCTGGGAAATCAGCCAAAATGTCGTGAGCCATAGACATCAGTTCAAGCCGCCGGCGTGTGTGGCCCAGAAGAACATCGCTGCGCTGTACGGCGAGGCGAAGCCATGGCGCCCCTTTCGGTGTCGGCCATCCTCGCGCCGTCGCCGCCGCCAGCCCAGGCGGCCGCAAGGGCCTCGCCGCGCCGCGCGCCAGCGAGCGCCGCGCCTGTCGCCGCCGCCATTTCGACGGCATTGCTTGCTTTGACTCCTGCCGCGCACGCCGCGGCGTTCTCCAAGGAGGACGTCGCCGGCTCCGTGACCAAGGTACGCGAATGGCGAATGCCACTACGGTGCTCGCTCTCGTCGGAACTCTGAACTCGTTTCGCGGCATTGTGGCCAGAGTGCTTGATTTTCTCGATGCGTAGGTGGTGGACACGGTGGACCAGGTCATCGGCGTCGGCGGCAAGGTGGCCGAGCAGTCCGCCGGCGTGCTCAAGGCGCTGGGCGAGGCCGCGAAGCCGGCCCTGCCTGCGCTGAAGAGCGCCGGCGAGCAGGCGCTGAAGCTCGCCTCGCCGGTGGTCTCCGGCGCCTCCAAGCAAGCCACGGAGGCGCTCCAGGGCGCCGGCGTCGACCCCGCCCCCGTTCTGTCCGCCGCTAAGGTAATACACCCGACGTCTCAGCCGCTCCGAGCAAAGCTTCTTTGATCAGCTCCGTTTCGATTCGGTGACGATGCTCCGTTTCGGTAGACCGTCGCGGACGCGGCGCAGCAGGGCACGAAGGTCATCGACGCCGCGAAGCCCATCGCGTCGGCGACGGTGGAGACCATCGGGTCGCTGGGCTCCGCGGACTACGTCGTGGTCGCCGGAGCGGCGTTCCTCGCGTACCTGCTCCTGCCGCCGGCATGGTCCCTGCTTTCTTTCACTCTCCGCGGCTACAAAGGTAGCAGCACAGCACATTGCGAATTGGCTATTGAATTGCGCCTCTTGCACGCTTTGCTTCGTTGGATGATTGCTCACTTCTTTTTTTTTTGGTTAAGGTGACCTGACCGCTGCACAAGCTCTGGACATGGTGACCTCGCAAGATTACGTGCTGATCGATGTGAGGACCGAGAAGGACAAGGCCAAAACCGGCGTGCCACAGCTCCCCTCGAACGCGAAGAACAAGCTCATCTCTATCCCGTATGCATTTCTTTCCATTCCTCAAGTGGCACATAGCCATTGTTTTTTTCCATGGCAAAATCCAAAACACCTTTGCACTGATGTGATCTCAGGCTGGAAGAGCTTCCAAGCAAGACGAAGAGCATGGTGCGCAACGCGAAACAAGCCGAGGCGGAGATCGCCGCGCTGAAGATCTCCTACCTCAAGAGGATCGGCAAGGGCTCCAACGTCATCATCATGGACTCGTCGGTGCACTGAAACCAAGCGATCGATCGTTTGAATTGCCCTGTGATCGATGAACGACAATTCTGAACTTACATTGATCGGCGCCTGCAGGTATTGCGACAGCTCGAAGATCGTGGCGAAGACGCTCAACAGCGTCGGATTCAAGAACTGCTGGGTCATGGCCGGCGGCTTCTCCGGCAGGAAAGGGTGGGCGCAGAGCCGGCTCGGGACGGACTCGTACAACCTGTCGGTCGTCGAAGTCGTCACGCCGTCGCGGGTAATTCCTGCGGCCGCTGATCGGCTCGTGACGGCTTCGTCGTCGGCTTCACGGACGACCACGAGTCGTAAGCTTCTTCCCGGCAGCGTGGACGGCTGAAAGAGGCTGGAATAGTCACTGTAAATCCCATATTCACCTCATGTTCTAGTTGCAACTCTCGTTTTTTTTTTGGGGTTTTTCAGTAATTGAAAAGGGAGAATCCGTATAAACAATAGTTGTGCCATGTGTGATATTCCAAATCGGTTTGAATCCTGTGAAAAAAAAAGATTGGCCCCAGCTTTCCATTCATGCATATGCTTATATGAATCGCTTATCTATTATATTATTAAAGGAATAGAAAAAGGAGCCTCCACGTTCGCTCTCATGGTCTAGAAATTCTCACATTAATTGGAGAAAAAGAAAATGCAGAGTCTATATAGAAATACAATTTAGAAATTTTTAAAATTCTGAATTAAAAAATAAGAAATATTAGAAGAGGAGACTAGAGTCCATATAGAAATATAATTTAGAAATAGCTGAAATTCAGAATTAAAAAAATAAGGAATATTAGAAGAGGAGACTAGAGTCCATATAGAAATATAATTTAGAAATAGCTGAAATTCGGAATTAAAAAATAAGGAATATTAGAAGAGGAGAATAGAGTCCATATAGAAATACAATTAGGAAAGAACTAAACTTCGGAATTAAAAATAAGGAATATTAGGAGTAGAGTATAGAGTCCATATAGAAATACAATTAGGAAATAATAGAAATTCGGAATTAAAAAAAAGGAATATTAAAAGTAGAGTATAGAGTCCATATAGAAATACAATTAAGAAAAAAAATAGAAATTCGGAATTAAAAAATAAGGAATATTAGAAGAGGGGACTAGAGTCCATATAGAAATACAATTAGGAAATAATAGAAATTCGGAATTAAAAATAAGAAAAATTAGAAGTAGAGTATATAGTCCATATAGAAATACAATTAAGGAAAAAAAATAGAAATTCGGAATTAAAAAATAACAAATATTAGAAGTAGAGTATAGAGTCCATATATGAATTTAAAACTAACTAAAATTCAGAATAAACATAATAAAATGAAAAGTAGTGTTTAGAGTCCGTAAAAAAATACAATTTACAAATAACTAAAATTCGAAATTAAGAAAAACATGGAAAGAAAAGTTTAAAGTCTATATAGGAATACAATTTAGAAGTAACTGAAATTTGAAATTAAAAATTAAAGAATATTGAAAGATGAGTTTAGAGTCCACATAGAAATGCAATTATAAATAATAAAAATTCAGAATTAAAAAAATAAATATTAAAAGACGAGTTTAGAGTCCATGTAGGAATATATATAATTTACAAATAATTAAAATTTGATATAAAAATAATTAATAACTAACACGTATATAAAATATAATATGAATATTACACATTAGTAGTTTCATAAAGTTATTGCAAAATTTACAATTGTGTTGTCATTGTAATATATTTTAATAATATAATGAGAAAACATATATGGTATTATATGAGAGAAAATATAATGATGCTAGCCGTGCAATCTGCGTGGGCCACCATGCTAGTTAAAAAAAACAGATTTGCTAGAATTTGTGGATAAATACGTGACGTTAGCAACATAAAAAACAAATTGTAAAAACACTACGATGAAAATCCACAGAATCAATTTAAACATTAAGTATTAGATAGAATTTAAATTTTGGTTTACAAGTATATATAGGTAAGTACTCCGAAGGCCCTTCAATGTCATCGGGATAAAAAACATTCTCGAACCGTAAAACCAGATATACGGGGTCCCTTAACTATACAAAACCGGTCACCCGAGATACTTCGATGGTTTTGACCCCGGTTTTGGTCTACATGGCGGCTGAGTTAGCGTGGGACCCACGTGGGCCCCACATATCAGCGTGGCCACGTCAGCCTCCTCTTTCTTCCCCCTCCTCTCCCTTCTCTCTCTCACTTCTCTCCTCTCGGTCTCGGGCAAGCCGGGGTGGGTGGGGAGGAGGTCGCCGGGGCGGCCGACGACTCGGCGGCGGGATCACGAGGGTGTCCCGAGCTCGCGGATCTAGAGCCGGCGCCGGCGAGTGTGGTGGCGGCAGAGAAGTCTGGGACGGAGGAGAGGAGGACGGCGCGGCTAAAGACGGCCATGGAGGGGCGACCGGTGGGGAGAGGCGCGCGGTGGGCGTCGGACGCGTCCCATCCTCCTTCTCACCGGCTAGCCTATGGTGGCAATGGTAGGGGCCCACCTCGACCTCGCCGGCCGCACCGTCCTTGGCTGAAGCCATGGCAGCAACGCCGGCCAGCAAGGACGTCGAGACCAGCGCCGGCGCCGCCGCATCCACGGTCGTCGTCGTTGCCGCGGCAAGCGGCCGTCGGCAAGCCGTCGCTATGGCCGCTGGTGAAAGTGGTGGCACCGTTCCCTCCTCTCCCGCTGGCGGCCATCGGGGAGAAAGGGCGGCAGACTTGGTGCAGCCGCCGTGTCGCCGCCTTGCTACCCCCCTTGCTCTCCTCCCCACCACCTTGCTCCCCCCACCGCCGCGGAGCTTCCCTCGCCGCCGCCAACGCCCCTCCCTTGCTCCCGCGTCACCATCGTTGTCGCCGCCTTGCTCCCCCCCACTGCCGTCTTGCTTTCCTCCCCACCCGTCCTGCCCAGAGCTAGAGAGAGAAGAGGAGGATGGGAGAGAAGAGGGGAAAGAGAGAGTAGGATGTCCTAGACAGGCTGACACGTGGGGCCCATGTGGGTCCTACACTGACTCAGCCGTCACGTAGGATAAATCCGGCATCAATACTACCCTGGGACCTCGGGTGACCGGTTTGTATAGATAAGGGACCCCGCATATCTGGTTTTGCGGTTCGAGTACGTTTTTTTTATCCCGATGACAAGTTGAGGGACCTTCGGTGTACTTTTTCCAATCGAAAATGATGAAGCTTAGTGGGCTGGGCTATTTTTGTGGCGGTTTAGACTAGATGTGCGGCTACACGGCCCGTAACCGTGCGTTGGATCACCAGTTGCGGCCCATCACCTCTCCCAGTCTCCCGGTCGGTTTCGCATTCCCGACGAGCCGCCGCCGGCATCTCCTCCGCTCCGCTTGATGTTTACTACTCGGAGACGGGGCGCGGCGGCCGGAGCCGAAACGACCTCGTGCAGCCATGCTCTCCAGTCTCCTCTCTGCCCGGATCCACGGGCTCCCTCGCGCCTAATATTCTAAACTTCAGAGAGGAGAGGAGCGGAAGGCTCGATCGATTTCGTCCCCGCCGATTTGCGCTATCCGAGGTATCATCGTGTCCCATGGGGGATCTGGCGTTGATGAGCTTTCTGTCCGGGAAGCGGGAGCGACAGCGGCAGCTCTGCCACCGACAAATTGGACGAGGCCGTATGCATCTTGCTCCCCTTCCCCCAGCCTTCTCTGCAGGGATCTCCTCTGTTTCTTTTCAAAAACAACTCGTCTACGGTTTCTGAAATTATTTACTGTTTTTGTTATTGTTATTTGTACAGAAGTTGAATGACAGAAAAAAATATATATACTGTTTTTGTTCTCCTTTTGCAGAAGTTGAATGACAGAAAGAAACTGGATATAACTGTGCATGTGTTGTCTTTCTTTCTTTTTTAATTTCTTCACCACTGTCCCTACTGATTGTAACTTTGAATCTGTGATGTTACCATAGGTGGCTCAATTACTTCAGTGGCTAAAACTGAAAGAAAGGGTCTGCACTACCAACTAAAAGAAAACGTTTACCTTCCAGAGGTATGAAATGCTGATAATATCCAGTCTATACAAATCACATGCATCTTTTTCAGTTATTCGCTTTATCGATTCACTTGTCGGTCATGTTGTACATTAGTATAATGAAATTAATCGTCACATGAATGCACATATATCATTCATGTTGCTTGCCACCGGCCTAATTCAAAATAAGATTGCAAACCACTATTCTTTTCTGCTGATCAACTCAAAACTAATTAAGCACGGCGAATGCTCTATACATGTTTCTAGGTGAAGTCAAAGATGTCTGAGGGATGTTTTGGTTGCTTAACTTTGCCAAACATAAATTACCGGTTGAGTTTGAGTTAGTTGTGCAGCTGCATTTTTGCCAGTGATTATCTATCCTATTTACTGAGTTACATTATATTACTAGGCCAGGAAACAAACAGGGTTCGGCTAGCCATTTCAAGCCAAACAAACAGGGTTCACCATCCTGAAATGTCAAACAAGCACTAATCACTAATGTGGCGAAGAAAAAACCTCAGCAAAAGCTCATGCACAATCCACCCACTACTTCCTGCCCTTGTATGTAATACATCACATCAGTGCAATTTTGCTCAGAGCACCCTAAAGAACGGAATTCTAGTATTGCACTCTATATGTATGGCCCAAATTTGTTTGACCACGTTGAATAAACCACTTGTTTTTATTATTCCTTTGCTAAGATATTCTTGTGATGTGCATTTAGGACATCTTGCGGCTGATCCATGCCATGATGCCACTGCGAGATGCTGCTCGTGCTGCTTGCGCCTCGCACATATTCCTGCAGTCCTGGAGATGTCGTCCCAACCTTATCTTCACTGGGGAGACGTTGGGCTTGATTATAAATGGTACTGGAAAGGATGACGCTAAAAGAGACTTCATCAATATAGTACAGCGCATACTGCTGAATCACTCAGGCATTGGCGTGAAAACACTAAAGCTTGAACTCCTCCATTTTAGCGATCTCGACTTAGGTTGTCTCGAAGCCTGGCTTCAGATTGCTGTTGCACCAGGGATTGAGGAACTCACCCTGATGTTTCCTTGCGTAAGATACAAATTCCCATGCTCGCTCTTATTTGAAAGAGGTGGAAACTCGGTTCGATATCTTCACCTCATGGTCTGCACCTTCCGTCCTACAATTGGTCTTGGTTGCTTGATAAAATTGACGCAGTTGCATCTGTCTTTCGTGTGGATTACTGGAGATGAGTTAGAGCTCCTTTCCAAATGCGTCGCTTTGGAGTGGCTGAAACTCTCATATTGCCCTGAGATAATTTGCTTGAAAGTACCTTGTATGCTAAGGCAGCTTGGCTCCCTTGAGGTGGCTGAATGCAGATATTTGAAAGTCATAGAGATCTGTGCTCCAAATCTTTCAAATTTTTATCTTACTGGTTTTCTAGTACGGACTTCATTTGAGAATCCATTGCTAGTGAAGAAACTACGAATCATGTGTTTACGTCAAGGCAACTTTGTTTCTTATGCTCGTACGAAGCTTCCATCCCTTGTGCCAAATGTTGAAACACTTACAGTAGCATCTAATGAAGTATGCTCCGAAACTTATATTTTAGAGCAATGCTATGCATATTATGGCACCTGAATTTAACTAACATGAGGCATCTCATGTGCAGATTGTCAAGACACCTATGGTGCCCGGCAAATTCCTCCATCTCAAGCACTTGCATGTTTATTTTATCTCACTGGCTATTTCCTATGATTATTTATTTCTGATTTCCTTTTTTGAAGCTTCTCCTTAACTGGAGACATTCATGTTGTCTGTAAGTGATGGTTCATCTTGCTGATATGCGTTTATTCAATTTTCTTGGTTTTCATCTGTTGTTGTTAACAATATAGCATTGACTTCATAACTGGTTTTGTGCAGGTGACGCAGCGTCGCATTGAGAACCCTTTCATCCAGCTCAATCCCTGAACTAGCTACTCCTAGTTAATTTCCTGCAAGAAGGATGACTGAGTCAACAGGCGACCGGGCAGGCGATTCCCACCGACCGACGGCCACTCCGGCCCCGGCGGCCACCCCCCTGCGCCGGTAGCCACCCCGGCGCCGACGCCCACCACCCACGCCTCTCTTGCCCCATCGCGCTTCCCCTGGAGCCTGCTCGACCGCCGCTCGACGTTGCTGGCCAGATGCGGTTGGCGTCTCTGCCGCCGTCGTGGCCAGCACTCCAGCCGGCGCATCCCACGCTGCTCCGCCACCACAAACCAGTAATCCCCTCTCAACCCCTCTCTGGACCACCCCTTTCCCCACGAAGCTCCACCCCACGCCGGAACCCCCAGTTCTGGCTGGAGTCGCCGCCGCCGCCGCCATCCAGATCTGCTGTGCCTTTCTCCGCCGACGATGTCTCCCACGTCTCGGAGTCCCCGGATCCAAGGAGTTCGCCCACGCCTGCTATGCCACGCTCCTTCGCTGATGCTGTCAGGTTGGATTTCAATCCCGCCAAAGGAGACGGCCTGCCCGTTTTCAAATCCCCACACGGCCAACCACCGCCGCGCCCAAAATTGAAGTCCGCCATTACTATCCCAGCCTGGAGCACCTTTCAGCGTCGCGCCTACAGGGCTACTCCCGGAGAGGAAATGGGCGTGCGTCGCATCCATGGTACGGCGAGACCAGGCCGCTTCAATGGCGAGTGGAAGGAAGTCAAGCCACGCCACTGGTGGCGCCGCTCGCCGCATTCACCCGAGTCCCAGCGGCCAGCTTCCAGGCGACAAGACGCACATTCAAGGCGCTCGTTGGCTCCCGCTGCATCGGCATCGCTGCGCCTCTTCAGAGAGAGAACGGCTGGAAAATGCTTCAACTGCCTTGCGCGTGATCACCGCGCAGCGCGCTGCAGGGACCCGGTTCGTTGCTTCAGATGTTTCCGTTCGGGGCACAAGGCAAACTCCTGCTCCCGGCGTGAACCGCGACCACGCCAACCTCGCCAGTCTCCACAGAAAGCGCTGCGCCGCCAAGCTTCTACACCACCCCCGCCACAGAACACGTCGCACCGCCAGGCTTCTACGCCATCCCCGTCTCTTCCCCGGGCTACACGACCACGCCAACCACGCCAGTCTCCGCAGAACACGTCGTGCCGCCAAGCCTCCACACCACCTCTGCAGCTACCTCTTCCACCCAAGCCGTCCTGCAACACGCGGATGGCTCTACTGGGAGACCCGGCGACCCGGCCGGATGAAGACCACTGCTTCGTTCCGACACCGTTCGCCACGGAGGCTGAGCGGAAAGAATGGGAAAGCTCGGCGGTGGTGTCCTGGGCGATGCGGGCACCGGCTTCCACAACGGCGCAAGATGTTGAGGCGGCTTTTCGGGAGGAATTCCGTCTTCGGCGAGGGGAGGTCACGGTGACGCGCCACCACCCGGAAGCCTTCCTGATCAAGTTCGAGCATAGCAGTCACTGCTATGAAGCTATGCGCAAGGGCTTCGTCAAGCGAAACGGTATTGAGCTCCACTTCATCAAGTGGCGCAGCCTGAGTGCGGCCCTCGGCATCGCGCTCATGTTTCGCGTGCGCCTGTGTCTAGATGGTATCCCGCGGCACGCCTGATCCGCCGACATCGTCGAGCGGCTCATCGCGCGCACCTGTGGCCTCGAGGAGATCGAGACCAACCTGATCCACCCGGTCGACACTCGCACGGTGGATGTGTGGGCTTGGACCGGCAATCCGAGCTCCATCCCGAAGCGGATGTGGCTAACCTTTACCGGCTCGACGCGGGGAGCCAAACCAGAGCAAATCCTGGTGTCCGACAGACCGCCGGCACACTGGCAACATGGCGCCAAATTCTGCGTCTACATCCACCTGGAGGAGATCCACGACTACACGACGGTGGCGGTAGACCTCGATGGCAACGAGGCATGCGCGCCCTCCAAGCGGCGCCTTCCGGAGTGGCACCTCGGCGTGGCCGACGGGGACCCGGTACCAACGCGAGCCTTCGAGAACTTCCCGCACCACCCGCCTCCACCACGCACTCGTCAAGGCCGCGAGCCAGAGCGCATCGACGACCGCGACGACCGTCGCCGAAGAGCCAAAGATGATCGTGACCGGAGCCGTCCCAGGCGGTCGTATAATGACGACCACCCGGACCACGACAGGGACCAAGCCTGGCGACGGCGCGACGACGACGACGACCGCGACGGCAGGGGCGGCCGGGGCCGCGAGGCATGGCGAGGACGAGAAAGCCGCAAAGTCTCGGGCCTTGATGGCCAACGCGTGCGCGAGCGTTCGCCGCGTCGGCGCGACTGGGCAGAGGACGACCGTCGCGGTGACCGGCGTCATCACGTGCAGGCTGCTGTCGCCCTGCCTGCTACAATCCCGCCTCTCAAGCTCGCTCCGAAGCAGGTAACTGATTTTAAGATGTTGTTTTCCCTTAACTCCCACCCTCTTCAGGCACCAAGGGAAAACCTCCGTGAGACGGGGGAAAGGCTTGTGAACAGGGTGAACAATTTCGCCGCTGCGGTGGATGACGCTTCTCAGCCTGGCGGGGAAGAAGCCTGGTCCGACCGCCGGCCAAGTCGCGTCCATGACGTCCCGATCCGGCAGGTGTTCGACCGGCTCAAGCACTGCCTCTTCCCTGCTGGCATCCACTCTACACCAAGCCACTCGGGCCAAGTGATGCCTCATGACGAGAGGGCGTCGATCGGCGCGGTGGAAGAAGCACTTGCAGCACTTTAGCTCATGGCGGACGCGGGTCATGCCGTCGGCGAGCGAACGCCGCCATTTCCAACATCCCCCCTCCAGTGTGCTGGGCCATCACCAGTATGGGCCGGCCTCCTCCCGGACCTTGGGCTGCAGACAGGAGGGAGCTGTCACGCAATGGGCCTGATGGGCCATGAAGACCTTCAGCCTGCCCTGCCGATGTCTACTTTCACAGGCTTGCAAGCGGGCCATGATACGGCCCACCCATCACCACCACAGGGCCAACAGGCTCGAACCGACACCACGGCCACCATCAGCGAGGCAACACTGCAGCCGCCACGGCGGTTGCGTCGAAGACGGTGACGCCGCCGCAGCTGATTACAGCTGCGCCAACGACGGAACAAGATGAACACCAAGATGCCGGGAATAAGAACACGCTGCAAGTGCTGGAGAGCCTCTTCTCCACCCCGCCGCGCGCCGTTTTGCCACGGCCGACCTCCCCTGCGCTGACGACGACCCAAGCGACCCCAGCGCCAGCACCGGCGCCGCCAGGTGGCCACGGGATGGAGCGTCGCCGCAGCGCAAGACTCGCGGCAAAGCCGCCAATGCCAACTATGCAACGCTGCACGAGGGTGTTATTGAAGCGGCTTGGCATGCTCCATGACGACAAGACGCTCGACGAGGTGCTCTCCGACTACATCGCCATGTTCAATGGACCTCTACCGCAACACGTGATCGCAGCGCTCACGTCCATCTTCGACATCGACGCCGATGCAATCATGGAAGCCAATCACGTCGACAACACGCTCCTGGAGGTTGTCGGCGAAGGCGTCGCTGACCTTGTCGAGGAGGTTGCCGACACAGCGGCATGAACGGGAGGGTGGGCGCCCTGCTGAGTACTCTGTCTTCTCCCCATGATTTCTACCCCAGATGAAAGTTTGTACCCTTTTGCTTGTGCAAAGACTCATAGTTTGCACCCTGCGGCTGCTGATGGAGCTTTTGCTAATCGTCGCATGTATCCTGCGTGGGAAGCTGCCCTACATTTGGATGATTTACGTTTACGGAACTACTACTGCCTAGCTCCCCTCTCCTGTGAATGTTTGCACTGTGAATTGAAGCCGACCACGACTGCTTGCCCTACTGCCGACGTTTGGCCTTCGTCGGCTACTATAGCTGCTGTTGGGACGACCCAAACCTCGCGTAAACGACGTCGTCTTCCCGCCGCAACTCCTGCCACCGGCGATCGGCTGCCTGCGGCTACCACCACCAAAATTGCGACGACTTCCACCTCACATATGCGTCGCCACTTCCCTGCTGTAAACCAGACCACCACTGAGCATCTATGTCCTAATGTCAAGCCAAAGCCTACAACTACTTAGCTGGAATGTGAGGGGGGCTTAACTCCCCGGCAAAGTGTACTGCACTAAACGAGCTAATCGCAGAGACATCTTGCAACCTCGTCTGCATCCAAGAAACCAAACTAAGAGCAGTTGATGACCAGCTAGCCCGTTTCTTAGGAGCCTACAGGCTAGACAGTTACGCTTTCAAACCGTCCAGGGGCACTAGGGGAGGCATCCTACTTCTGTGGAACAGCACGGCGATCTCGGTGCACAGCACTCGCATAGGTCGTTACTCGTTGACAGCGAATATAACTGTCCTACGCTGCGGAACAAGCTTCATGCTCACCACGGTCTACGGCCCAACGCGTCACAGAGAAAAAGACTCCTTCCTCCGTCACATAAGGAGTTTAAAGCCGTCCCCGGGAAACAAATGGCTTATCCTAGGAGATTTCAACTTGGTTTATCGGGCACGAGATAAAAACAACAACAACCTAAATTTAGGCCGAATGAATCGCTTCAGAGCTGCACTCAACCGCTGCGAGCTAAAGGAGATCCACCTCCAAAACAGGAAATTCACGTGGAGCAATGAAAGACGACGACCAACCCTCATGAGACTTGATAGGTTCTTTTGCAATGAGGAATGGGACCTATCTTTCGACCGCCACATCCTACACGCTCTTTCAACAGGACCTTCCGATCACTGCCCGTTGTTGCTCACCGACCCATCCTGCCCACGTAAGCCGCGGCCTTTCAAATTCGAGAATTTCTGGATAAAGTTACCTGGTTTCAAGGAGGTCGTAGAGCAAGCTTGGGGGAAACCGTCGAATCACACCGAGCCTATGCACCGGCTTGCGTATAAACTACGGGATATGGCCAAAGAACTAAAACGGTGGGCGAGAACCACGTGCTCTCAGACTAAGCTGAAATACCATATGGCCCTAGATGTCATCCTACGACTGGATGTGGCCCAGGAACAACGTACCCTTTCGCCGGAGGAAGGGAACCTAAGAGCAGCCCTGAAAAGGAGAGTTTTGGGTTTAGCGGTGATTGAAAGAGCGAGAAAGAGACAAGCGTCACGAATAACGAACATAAGAGCAGGCGACGCAAACACCAAGTTTTTCCACCTCAAAGTAAACTCCACAAGAAGGAAGAATCATATACATCGCCTCCGCAAACAAAACGGGTGGGCAGTGACGCACGAAGAAAAAAGCCAAGCGATTTTCGACCACTTTTCCCTCTTCATGGGGAGGCCGCAAGAAAGACAACTAGATCTAAACTGGCAATCCCTAGGGCTAGAGACAACGGATTTAAATTCGCTCAATGAACCTTTCACCGTGGATGAAATCAAGAGAGCAATTTGTCACATGCCGACAGACAAAGCACCTGGCCCTGATGGTTTTACCGGGTGTTTCTTCAAAGCATGCTGGGAAACCATAAAAAACGACGTCACGACAGCTTTCAACGCCATCTACAATCATCGGTGCAATCATCTAAACCTCCTCAACTCGGCAAGCGTCGTCCTCATCCCAAAAAAAGATGGTGCAGAACAAGTCTCCGATTTCAGGCCAATAAGCCTTATACACGGATTTGCAAAAATCTTCTCAAAATTACTGGCCCTTCGGCTGCAACCTCTCATGCACAAACTTGTTTCAACAAGCCAAAGCGCTTTCATTCGGGGAAGGAGCATACATGATAATTTCCTATATGTCAGAAGTATGGTGAGGAAGTACCACCGAACCAGGCGGCCGATGCTTCTATTCAATCTGGATATCTCAAAGGCTTTCGATTCAGTACGATGGGACTACCTCCTAACACTTCTTCAACATTGAGGCTTCCCCCAGCGTTTTTGTGACTGGGTTTCAGCTCTGTTCGCAACTTCTAGCTCCAAGATACTCCTAAACGGAATACCGGGTACCAAAATAATTCATGGGCAAGGCCTAAGACAAGGAGACCCCCTATCCCCGCTACTCTTCATCTTAGCAATTGACCCACTTCAAAGACTACTTAGCAAAGCGACAGAACTCAAGCTACTAAGCAAGCTACGAGGAAAGTCTGTGACACTATGTACTTCCCTCTACGCGGATGACGCAGCAGTCTTTATTAAACCAGGAAAATCCGAAGTGCAGAATTTCACTGCTATTCTACATCGCTTTGGCCTCGCAACCGGCCTACGTGCAAATATAGAAAAAACACAAGTGGTGGCCATCAGATGTGAAAACGTGGACTTGGATGAGGTGCTTCAAAACACCCCGGCAACAAGAGCTTCCCTACCTATGAAATATCTTGGACTTCCCCTAACAACGGGCAGATTGCGCAAGGCAGACCTACAGCTGTTGTTTGACAAATCGGCCGGAAAAATGGCAGCTTGGCGAGGTAGAAACTTGGGACTCGCCGGACGAACTACACTAGTCAAATCAGTGCTATCATCACAGCCGGTCTACCTTCTTATTGCACTAAAGGTCTCCAAGGAATCAATGGAGACGCTTGACAAGCAAAGAAAGAGCTTCCTCTGGGCAGGATCGGAAAAGCTAACGAGAGGAAAATGTAAAGTAAATTGGAAAAGAACCTGCTCACCGACTGTCTATGGTGGTCTGGGCATTCTGAATTTAGAAAACTTTGCTAGAGCGTTGCGGATCAGATGGCTGTGGCAAGAGTGGAAAGCTCCGGAGAGAACCTGGATCGGCCGGGACAACCCATGTGACAACACAGAGAAAACTCTTTTTGCGGCGGCAACGACAATAACTGTGGGAGACGGGGAAACGGCTAGCTTCTGGAACTCAGCTTGGATGCAAGGGCGGCGGCCGAGGGATGTGATGCCACTTGTATATGCAATATCCAAAAGAAAGAATAGAAGCCTCAAAGAAGGCGTCACAGATAACGTCTGGGTACAAGACCTAAATTTCTCTTCCCCAGATGCAATAACAGTTGAGCTGCTGGACCAAATAGTGACTCTGTGGTCGATAATCCAAAGCGTGCAGCTCAGTCCAGACGTGACAGATGAAATCACTTGGAAGTTCACCAATCATGGGGAGTATACAACAAGCTCCGCCTATAAGATGCAGTTTCTCGGATCCATCAATGCAAACTATGACGCAATCATCTGGAAACCATGGGCACCAAACAAATGTAAAATTTTCGCATGGTTGGCCATCCAAAACAGAGTCTGGACGGCTGGCAGGCTGACTACACGTGGATGGCCGAACAACACTTTCTGCCCGCTCTGTAGACATACCCGGGAAACGGTATTCCACCTCCTAGTAGACTGCAGATACTCTAGGAGGATTTGGGAGAATCTGGCTTGCTGGACGTCGCAAGAGCACATCAAACCAGGCAATTGGGCTCAACCTGCGTCGCTCCAAGACTGGTGGACTGCAATAGCAACACACCCAGGGACACCGAGAAAAGGAAATCGCACCCTTCTGTTGCTAGTGACATGGGAGATTTGGAAAGAGAGAAATCAAAGAATTTTCCAGCGCAACGAACTCTCCATACTATCGCTCTGCACAAAGATAAAGGAGGAGGCCAAGACCTGGACTCTAGCCGGCGCGAAAAGGCTATCTGAGATAATCCCTTAATCTATTTAATTTTTTCTCCTTTCCCCTTGTAAATTTCCAAAGTTTTTAGCTTTGTACAGTTTTTTCCCCCACTATATTCAATGAAATGGGCACAGTCTAGTGCCGATTCGTTCAAAAAAAAAGAACCCTTTCATCCGAGGGAGATGTCAGAACACCACCATAAGAACCTCAAAAGTGTGAAGATCATTGGTTTCTGCTCTGCGAAGAGCATGATTGAACTTACATGCCATATTCTTCAGAATACATCATCACTTGAGTGCCTTACGCTAGATACAACTGATGGAGCTACTAGGTGCTGTGTCACAGAATATGATAAATGCTTATCAATGGACAATGATATTCTCACGGAAGCTCATGAAGCACGGTGCGCTGTCGCAGAATATGGTAAATGCATATCAATGGACAGGGATGTTATCCTGGACGCTCATAAATCACTCTTGGCTAGTATAACATATGTTGAGGGGAAAGTTCCCCCCACAGTCAAGTTAAATGTCGTGGAGCCTTGCAGCCGGTGCCATGCAGTTGAATTATAGATGTCTTCGTCATACATGTAGCCTTGCAGCACTCGCTGGCTCGGTGCGTTCCCGCTCACTACCTTTCGGCTTTCGTTTTTCTTCGCGTTCAGCTGGCGCTTGGCCTGTTTACGACTTTGGGGATAAAAAAACCATCCAGCCGCGTACCATCCGCCACTGCTGGTTCCTGCGCTACACCGCGCTTTTTGTTACCGTACCAGACGCCTCCGCCGTGATCCCTGACCTCCGCCGCTCGGTAGCACGAGTGCCGTTTGGCCGTACCAATCACCGGTGAGCAATGAACATTTCCTCCATGCGCACAGTGCAGTAAACAATGGGAGTATTCTGTTATATTCATTCATGCAGAGAATTGAGTTGACTCCCTGAGTTTGTGGCGACTACGTGCTGGATCAAGCAGCACATGTTCGTGCACGTTGGCGCGACGCAGCTAGCAACAGATAGCACATCCCAAATTAATCCACCGTCCCTTAACTCCCAAAAGTTGATGAAAACATCAGCAGAGCACTCATCTTGCCCTCTCTCGCAAAACGGTCGAAATGAAGCACAACAACCTGCTCGTCCGGAGAGCGGCTTCCACCACCGGGCTTCTCCTCATCCTCCTCCTCCTTGTCGCCTTCACCGTCTGCAACTACTCCTCGCTGAAGCTGAGCACACGCCAGTACATCGATGGCACGTCGGCGAGATCGTCGTCGACCCGTGCAAGCTACGCCAGCGGCGGCGGAGGAGGCGCGGCGTGCGACGTCGCGAGGGGGGAGTGGGTGCCCGACCCGGCGGCGCCGTACTACACCAACGAGACGTGCCCGCTGATCGACAGCCGGCAGGACTGCATGAAGTACGGCAAGCCTGGGCTGGAGTCCATCCTCCGGTGGCGGTGGCGTCCCCACGGCTGCGACCTCCCCCGCTTCGACGCCGCCGCCTTCCTCCGCCTCGTGCGCGGCAAGTCTATGGCCTTCGTCGGCGACTCCGTCGCGCGCAACCACATGCAGTCGCTCATGTGCCTCCTCTCCAAGGTACGCGCGTTTGTACACTCGCCGCCGTCGACGTTGCACGTAACGGCGCGCGTTTCGGTGCTTGACACATCGTCGCCGAGCAGGTGGAGTTCCCGACGGAGATCGAGGCCAAGGACTGCATCCACTGCACGCGCAAGTACCACTACCGCGCGCACAACTTCACCGTGTGCGTGTTCTGGGCGCCGTTCCTGGTGCGGTGGAACCTGACGCGCGCCGGCGCGCTGCAGTTCATGGACCCGCACAACGTGTTCCTCGACGAGGCCGACCCGGAGTGGTCGCGCGGCGTCGCCGGCTACGACTACGTCGTGCTCAACGGCGCCAAGTGGTTCACCCGCCCCACCATCCTCTACGAGGGAGGCCGCCTCGTCGGGTGCAACAACGACTGTCACGGCGGCGATCCCAACGCCACCGCCGCCACGGCGCCGCCGGAGTACGCGGTGCGCGCGTCGTTCCGGACCGCGCTCCGCGCGCTGCGCGAGCACCCCGTGTTCCGCGGCACGGTGATCGTCCGCACGGTGGCGCCGCCGCACTACGAGAACGGCAAGTGGTACGACGGCGGGAACTGCCTGAGGACGCGGCCCATGCGGAGCGACGAGACGGGCCTCCCGGAGACGGAGGCCGCGTTCCACGCCGCGCAGGTGGAGGAGTTCCGCGCCGCGGCGGCGGCGGCGGCGGGTGGGAGGTTCTTGCTGATGGACGTCAGCGGGATGATGCAGATGCGCGGCGACGGGCACCCTGGGCAGTACGGCCACTGGCCGCACGAGAAGGTCGGCTTCGGCATCGACTGCGTCCACTGGTGCTTGCCTGGCCCCGTCGACGCCTGGAACGAGCTGCTGCTCCACTTGCTCCGTGGTTAGGCAACTGAGCATGATACATCTACCTAGTCTTAGTTTTCTCTTCCTTCGCATTGTATTGTACAAGTGGCATGCATTTGGAATTTTGGATGCGAATTGATGTCACACCGCATTTGATGTTTTACTGAGGTACAAAAAGTTCGATTGAGACATCCTGCAACAGAACGCAAAAGAAGCTTTCTTCGGTAAAAAGAAATGCCAATTTTCTCAGTTGAAACGGAAACTCTTTTAATCACTCGATTGGACGTCCACTCGTTCCGGTTGAAACGCCAATATCATCTCATCTCATAAAAGAAGATTAATTGAGCTCTCTAGTTCACTGCTGATAGCATGTGTGCACTGGATGCGATTTTCTCCTGGTTTACAGAATGTGCTCAGTTGGCCTCCTGACAGCATAAACAAAAACCATAGTATCACGTCGAAGTCAACCCAGTGTGCTTGGACGGATTATCAATTCTGAAGGGATGATCAGATCCAAGATGTAGAATTAAGCTGAGCAGGCAGCATCTTGGACATTAATTGCAGCAGAACTGGAATACTGCATCTCGTTTAAAAGTTATTCATAAAAAGAACTTCAGATAGCTGTTAACTGAATATCTTTACATTCTGATTTTTTTTTGACGTAAGTACATTCTGAATTCTAACATATGATATACAGAGTATCTGTTTAGAATCCAATGAGGAGGGCCCCCATCGAGATGTTTGCTGAACTGCTAAGCTCAAAGCACTTTAAGTAAGCACTTCTTATGTTATAGAAAGGACATTACGATTAATTATGATATCTGCAGTGTCTGCTCAGCTCCTGATCACGATCTGGACATTTGGTTCCATTTCTGGAGTTGTTACCACAAGGCAGGTATCATGGCGTACACGTTCCACGTCGTTGAGTTCCCAGTTTTGTGCCTCCAGACGCCAATGGCAATGTCGGTTACTCGGTTGGACTTTGGAGAATTGAAGTTTGGAGTCATGGATCTCCACTCCACATGGTCACCATGCATAAATCACGAGACAGAAAATAGGAGTATTCATTTAAATCAAGTCAACAAGATTAACAGTTTGACATAGTTTCCATTTTTCTTTTAGAAGAACAGGAAGCTTGACCTAATGTCCCTCATAAAATAGGAGTGTCAACGACCCCAGTGTTTGTTTGGAACAATGTGCATCTGCCCTCTCTCTCTCTCTCTGTTTTTTTTTCAAAAGGCAAACAAACTTAAATCGATCAATTGAGTTTAGCAAGTGCAATATCACTTTAGGAAAAAAAAATCAATCTTGCATGCCAGAAATCATATACAAGTACTTTTCAGGACAATTTGGCTTCAGTTTAGGTAAGCTACAAAGACATGATGAAAACAGAATTCGTCAATCCTGCAAGTGGAACTTGAAGACAATGGTCATGTAAATATTCGTGAACTTTGGATGGAGATTTACTAATAGGATTGCTATATGAATAATTGTATCTCTTCCCTTTTTTTTGTTGGTGGGTCTTAAATTTATCTTTTCTTTATTATTTGTTAGATATTACTCAATTCGTCACATTGTAAGTGCAGTTGTGGATCTCCGTATCCAACGTTTGACCGTTTGTTTTATTTGAATTTTTTTAATGATTGGTAGTTTTATTGTAATTAGATGATAAAACATAAAAAGTACTTTATGTGTTACTTATTTTTTTTTAATTTTTTCATACAATTTTTAAATAAGACGGAGAGCCAAATATTGGACACGGAAACCCACAACTACACTTAACACTTAAATGGGACGAAGGTAGTATCATATTTGGCTTTATGTCAGGGACGATGTAACAAGGGGTTGTAGCTTCTATTGAAACAAAGTCTTGTTTCTATCTATCATCTAAAAAAAATCAATCTATTAGCCTTTCTCAATTTACAGAACAGTACAGTTTTCCAGATTTCACATAAATGATCTTCCAGGTATAATGCACCAATTGCATTCCACAAGCAGCACTTTGAAATTTTGGTAGAGCAATTGAACTCATGATCTACTTGAACGAGTATATACTAGTACTATTGATCAACCAGCATGTGGAACAGCAGCTCGCTCCACAGGTCAATCGGCCCCGGCAAGCACCAATGCAGGCAATCCACAACGAAGCTGCCCTCCACGCTGCCGCCCGGCGGGTGCCCGTACCGGCTCGGGTGCCCGTCCGGCCGCAGGTCCATCGCCTCGGTGATGTCCAGCAGCCGCAGCTCGCCGCCGTTCCTCCTCACCGCCGCCTCCGCCTCCCTGACCGCGTCGACCTGCGGCACGAGCAGATCGCATCAACATTTTCTGTTGCTAAATCGGAGAGTTCGATAGGAATCTTGGAAAATGCAAAAGGGTGTGTTGAGGTTCTTGTCACCTGCACGGCGAGGTACTCGGCCTCGACGGCGCCCAGGGCGCGCTCGTCGCGCCGGAACGGGCGGGTGCGGACGCAGTCGCCGCCGGTGTTCCACTCGCCGTTCTCGAAGTGCGCGGGGGTGACCGACCGGAGGATCGCCTTGCCTCGGAATGTCCCCGGCGCCGCGGCGAGCGCGCCGAGCGCCGTGCTGAACGCGGCGCGCACGGCGCGGGGCACGGCGATCTCGGTCGCGTTGGTGACGGGGGCGGCGCCGTTGCGGCCGACGGCGCGCCCGCCCTCGTAGTACACCGACGGGCGGAGGAACCAGTTGGTGTCCGAGAGGACGACGTAGTCGAACTCGGCGACGTGCGCCGCCCACCGGGCGTCCGCCGTGTCGAGGTGGAGGTCCCACAAGCCGAGCGTCGCGTTCGCTAGGTTGGCCTTGACCAGGAAGGGCGACCAGAAGAGCGAAGCCGTGAAGCCATGGCTGTCGTACCGGAAGTCTCGCCGGACCGCCCTCCCCGTCACGTCGATCTCCGGAGCCGCGCCGACGAGCTCCACCGGCTGCGCCACCTGCGACACACTCATAACCAAGCGGCCTCCATTTCATCACCAACAGATCGAGCAGAGAGAAGCCAAGACTGATCTACGCACCTTGGACAAGAGGCACAGCAAAGACTTGAAGTGGTTCCTGGCGAGCGAGTCGCCGACGAACGCCATGGATTTGCCCCTCATGGCCTCCAAGAACCTCGCGGCGTCGAAGCGGGGGAGCTCGCACCCGTCCGGCTTCCACCTCCAGCTCACGTACTCGAGGCTCGGCTTGCCGAACTTCATGCAGTTCTGGTGGTCGTCGATGAACGGGCACGTCAGGTTCGTGTAGTACGGCGCCTCGCCGTCCGGCACCCACTCGCCCCGCGTAAGGTTGCACTTACTCACGGTGGCCGGAGACGGCGACGACGACGACGACGACGATGACGAGGCGGCGTCAATGTTCGGGTAGCGATCAGCGAAGGTGAAGTCATAGAGCGAGATGAGCCCGACCACTAGGAGGAGAGCGATCGGCGCAGCGATGGCAGCCGATCGCTTGGGAAGAGGCAGGTTGTTCTTCTGCGATTTCATGATGAAATCAGAGCGAGGAGATGTGCTCTTGGGAGAGGAGAAATGGAGGGTGCAGAGTAGTATGGTTTACTCTTCGCTTTAGCTTGTTGGTGGCGTCGTGGCGGTGGAGGTCAAAATCTGCATTGCACGACTAACGGAGACATTATAGTAATCCGTAAGAGCAAGGTTAATAGTGTAGGCCGTTGACAGCTCCAATTACCTCCATATCATTTTATAGTTAGTACTAAAATCAACTAGTACAATTAATAGGCTACTATGTTAACTGCACGTTATCATTTAAACAATTAATTATTCATGCACATATTAATCATATAGGATTAAGAGTGAACACTATCCCTGTGACCATTTGAACAAGCCATCAGACACCAGAAAGACCGTGTGGAGTGGGGAGCGGAAGGGAAAACGCACACAGGATCAGGTAGGGTTGGTGCGGGCCCACAAAAGCTATTTCCTATCGCCCGTGCTGGCTGCTTGCGAGTGATATGCGCGTGAGAAACCGTGCTACCGCCGGCGACAGATTAGTCGCTCGCTTTATTCTCTCTCTCCTTGATTCTCTTCCTTCCACGTAATATTTTGCTGATGTGTAGTTTTTTTTAAGAGCCTGCTGAGTCATTCTACTGTACCTACTCTAATTACTGATTAGTTTGGTAACAGAAGCCCTACCGCTGCAAACTGCCGGATGATTGGCAGGTTGCAGAGATGTTTAGGACCTCAAAACTGTTCACGCTACCGTGTTCGATTCAGAATCTGATGTCGCTTTCAGAATCATACCATCATATTTTTCTTTTGTGCACAACTTGATTCAAGTCAAATTCAGTTTCCTGGACAACGTGCAAACCTGTGTCCCGACAATCCGAGTTAGTACATTCCTACGCATGATCGCTGTGGAAACCAGGGCACCCTGCAGGCTGCAGCCTGCAGGGAGTAGTTTGAGACAAAAGCAATCGAATTTTCAGTGGTCAGAGATAAAAACACAATAGGAAGGTTGGTGAATAGGATCTGCTTCGTAGCTTCCTTGGTTTCCACGTTCGCAGAATGCAGAGCACTAGTAAAAACTGGAGTTTGTTTGCTCCGAAATTTAACTTTGTGCTTGATGGTAGCCAGACATGCCAAGATTTTTTTCCCCCCAACCAAACTCTGTTTTTACTATCCGATTAAGTTTCTGATTATATTCGATCTGAATAATCTACCAAACACGATCAGAAAGACATGATCATTTCATTTGCAGAACAAAATTCACACAACCTCTGATCTAGAGACAAGGAAAGGAATAGATAGCAGAAACACAGGGCGCAGTGCCAAATTCAGTAAACTGGGTCCCAAAAGTCTGGTTTACATTCCTACGCATCATCGCCGTGGAAACTGGAAAACAAGGGGGCCCTGCACTCTGCAGGAGCTCAATCGTTTCAGAATTCAGACCATAGTAACCAACAAAATAAATGGGATTTCCAGCGATCAAAGATAAACAAAATAGAGTCAGTGAATTGGATCTCCTCCGTAGCTTCCTCGAGAGTTTCCACAGCTTGCAGAATGGAGGGCACTTGTCAAAGCTAAACCTTGGTTGTTCCAAAGTTCAGCTTGATGTCTGGGCTCTTTCTCTGCTTGAAATATCCGGTTACATTTGCAGATCATATTCAATCAGGATGAAGAATGAACTCACCAGACATGATCGTTCCATTTGCAGAACAAAATCTACACAGCTTCTGATCTACAGACAAGGAAAGGAACAGGCAGCAGAATCACTAGGTGATCACTGATCAGTAGTGCCGGCTGTTTTTCCGCATGGCGCAGCAGGCGAGGGAGTAGGCGAACATGCATATGAGGATCGCGAGCGGTACGTGACACACTGATAGTTTTTTTTTATAAGTGATGCTTGTATTGCTACTGATAAATGAATGAGTGAGTTCAGCATATTCAGAAATGGATGCAAATGCATGTAAATTCCTTAGGTAAAACCTCGTAAATTAACAAACTCATTTTGCAACATACAATCTTCCATAATGAAAAGAAGGTATATTTATTTTCCTTTTTTTTAGAAAAGAGCAAAGGGCCATTGATTAGTTGATTTTGAAAAGGAGAAAAAGAAAGAGAAATTTAAGAGCATTTTAACTATTTTGTCAAAACTATCAATTTGCGCAACTTTAACTAAACATTTCAGATAACTACAACAACAGTATATGCTTTTATCATAAAGCTGCAACTTCCACCTGTTATGCTGAGATGAATACTCATCTTGTTGCATGTTGGGCCTACTTGTTATACACATACAAGGGTTTAAGTAGTAATTCTCTAATAAAATCATTTGTTATTATTGCAGTTTTATAAAAAAAAACACCTATAGTCTCATGAACGGTAGGTTTATTAATAACTATAGTCTCATGAAATTAAATACCGACTTTTGAACAGTCTGAAATTCTGAACTGCACGACCAATATTTATCAACAGAAATATATGAACTCCTGGACAAGCTCATGCAGGTATATCAATTTCAAGAATCACCTATGAAAACACCAGTATCACAAAGGAACATTTTCACAGATGATATTAATGGTCTGCTGCTGCGAGGAGGGGAGGTTTTTACCTGCGGCGGCCGGCCTCGCGGCCCGTCCATCTTGCTCTCGCAAGTCGTACCGGCGGCGGCGTTTGATCTCCTGAGCGCGCCGGCCGTCATCACCTCCTGCCGGAACCGCCGGAAGATGGACTCCTCCCAGTCGTTGTCCTCCACTAAAAGATCCGCACTTGCAACCCTTCGCCGCAACCACCGCCATCGGCACTCGCTGGGCCACGGACGGCAGCGAGCTCCTCCCGGAGAAGCTGGAGCAGCGTGCTCAGAAGGGAAGTAGTGGCCGGAGCAGCCACGGACTGTCCATGGCCTACAATAGGTTTAGCGCTCTCTCCCCTTCAGGGAATGGAAGTTTTTGAGGGAATAATTAACTATTTGTAACTCTTACGAGTAGTGATAAAAGATTTGCCACTGAACCTACATGTCATAAACATATCAGGGCCCAATGGCCCATATATAATAGACAGCGAGTGACAAATCATTAATTACCACATTTTAAAAGTGATAAATAGTTAAATGTCCTAGGCCTGTCTGAAAAGAGATTCAGAATAACACGCTCCTCTAAACAATTCAGTTTTTCATTCATATTATGAGAAGGTATATTTGTATAATCTAGGAAATCAACTAGATGTCATTCTCACTAGCTGCTTCTCACAACCTAGACCAAAGCACTGTAAACCAAATATAAATTATTACATTTCATAGTTGAATGATGCCTTGCGCGTTTGCAAGCTAACTTGAGATCCACCGACAGTCATGTTCTTTTGTAAACCGCTCCAGTCACACTTGTGCCACTGTTAACCCTGAAATGAAAGAAATACAGCCAGCATGTGTTAACTTACATGACACATCTCAATTTTCTTGAAGGGTATGAGTACATAAAAAAAATACATTATTAGAAATATAATAAGCAAACCAAAAAAAAGTATATTTAAACTAGGGCACAAGCTTGACCTCCATGTAGATCAAGTGATTATGAGACATGACATAGATGATAATAGTACACGTATATCAGTTTGAAAAAAATAGTTTATTAGGTATTTTCATTTGGGGCTCTAGTCTGGTAACTAATGTCCTTACTTCTAAGATCTAACATGAAGTCTAAAGCTCAAACATAGTCGACACTTGACACATATGGATCATTAACTTGTTGATCAGTCTTGGGAGTTAAAAAGAAGGGATATCTGCCAAAAAAAAACATCATATACTACTGCAACTCATGTAGAATTGTAGTAACTACATCTAGAGTCTAGAACTGTAAAAGCTGCCCTTGTGAGTAACTAATGTTCTTATAAGTTAGAACTATTTGCCAGTTCCAATTACAATGGCTCCAATACTATAGCAAACTTAGAACTAAGTGATAACACAGTTCAAACTTGGACCGATACGAAATAACCATAATGTTCTGATGCGCGAAACAATGATCACTACAGCACCAGTACCACCATTTCTTTAGAGGACTAGTACTGTCATGTGAGCAATACATCCCATAGAAACAATGGAGCATGATGTATCTACGGTAAGATTGAGTATGGGGAATTCAAATGGGGAAGTGACATGATGCATTTGCACTCACCAGTAGGTAGACAGGTAGCTTTTTATAAATTAACTGGTGCATTTTTCAATGTTTGTTTGCATAGCATCCAACTTCTCAAGTACATATTCCACCTTTTTGCAACTAATCTCATTAGCAATCCTTGCACTGTAGTCAGACTTCTCAAATGGGCGATATTCGCAGGCACTTTTGATTTCCTCACGCAATGTCGTTTGAATTTCCTGCTCCAACCATAATAACAATGAATCTACCATGTATGATTTACAATGCATATTGTGTCTTAAATAAAAGTTAGTGAAAGAGAGGCACAAGAACATGTACAACAATACAATTATCACACAAATTGACTTGTATTTTGACGGATGAGTAGAAAGAACTTGGATGGGCCAGAGAGAAGTTCACTGCCAGTCTGGCACCCTTAACAACTAAGGCACAGCTTGTTATTGCTGCACGGCACTATACTTCTTCTTCTTCTTTTTTTGAAGCTGCTGGGACCAAAAAGCTGTGAAATGTCTATTATTCTCCTCTTTTAAAAAAAACTTCTGGGACCAAAAAGTTTTGAAATGTCTGTTATTCTCCTATTGGTAAATCAGAATTAAGTTGATTCTTATTCAAACTACTGCCCTGTTGAGCATCACCTTGTAAAATCTTGAAACAAAAGGTGGGAACGATGTGCAATTGTGAAAGATACAATACTAAGAATTTTAGTTTTGCATTCTGCAATCTGCAGCAGCATGCAGGATGCTTAATAGAGTATGCCATTCCTCCATAAATAGGGGAGATTAATCCATGAGCATGCAAATGACAGCCTGACAAAGGACTATACACGAAGATGCTTCTAACGAAGCAAAGGAGCTAAATACCCACACTAAAACATAATTTCTACTCCCTCCATTCGCAATTGAACATCGTATTACATTTGTGCACGATACCAAGGAAGAAATAAATTGAGCAGTTGTTAACATCCATCTAGCCCTAATGCTGCAGCGCCGGTTCAGTGCCGCATGCATGCCTGCAGCCCATGACGCATGGCCAATTAATTAATTTTGCGGGTGGATTAACTAACCTGGCATAAATCAATGGGCATTAAATCCATGCATGCATGCACGCTGTAAGAAAGGAATCAGGGTTTAACTAACCTCTGCTCAATCTCCCCGCATTAAATATATGCATGCATGCACGCAATAAAATAGGAAATCAGCTGCCTCCCGACGTTATGCGACAATCAAATCAGTTTTTTTTTTCGTTTTGTCTCTTAGTTGTTTTGCCGGCAAGGTCCAGGTAAGCATTCAGATCTTAGGGCAAGATAGTACCTTGATGGTGAGCATGTACTCGCGGCAGTGGGCAACGACTTTCTCGGGGCGGGGACCCTGCGAGTTCCCAAGCTCCTCCATGACCGCCCCCGCCAGTTGCATCAGCTGGACTATCCGCTGCACACACAAAACACCTCACCACATCAAGATCCAGGAATCCCTGCAAGGAGACAGTCCAGGGCACCAAAAGGGGGAAGATGGGCGTCCCAGCGAGGGATGGGAGATTACCTGCTCGACATGGTTGAGGCGTTGCAGTGAGCTGCTCTGGCTTTGCGGAAGCATCGCTACCACCAGAGAGGAGGAGGGGTTTCTGACTTTCAGCTTCCACCCAAGTTGGAGAGGGTACTTTGGTGGTCGTGGGCTGCAGCAAGGAGACGGACAGAGTAGCGATGAGGTTCGAGTTGGTGAGGAAGGCGATCAAATGCCACCTGTATTTCTGGCTGATGTGGCTCAATCTGGTATCAAGAAAGTATTCAGCTTTCATGTATTTTATTAGATGTAATTGGTTTCCAATACGGTGTCTGGTTGACGTTCACTAGCTACGACGTCCTCCCTCCATTTCATATTATCAGTCATTTCATATTATCAGACGCTTTTCATATTATTAGTCGTTGGACCTTTTTCTTAGACAAACTTTTATTTAAGTTTGATCAAATTATAAACATAAAAACATAGCAATACTTTTAACACCAAACAAACATATCAAAATATATTCAATGTTAGGTTTGATGAAACTAATCTGGTGTTGTAAGAGTAGCTACATTTCTCTAGAAACTTGCAAAAAGTCACAACAACTTGTAATATGAAACGGGGTGAGTATCTAGCAACAATATATCATATGCAAAATTGAAATTCCTCCCAAAAAAAATTTGCGCTCAAAATATTCGGATGGAAGCGAGTCCCAAATTCAACAAAAGGAACTAGGCCAAGATCTGGAGTCATCAGCGGACCACCTCCAGCAGCACGGAGCTCAGGGCGCCGTCACGAGCAACCCACTCAGCAAGAAGGGAGGGGAGGAGCTGACTATTATTAGTAAAACCAAGGTAAAAAGACGGAGAGAAAACCCTAAGCTTCCAGATCTACCATAGGGTTGAGGCAAACCCGAGAGAGAGAGGATCTGCGTGGGTCGGCACGGGTGCTCACCGGAGGCGGAAGCTCTCATCGCGGAATGGATGGATGGAAATCGGCGAAGGCAAGGCGGCGCGGCGGGCGAACTAGCGAGGAGATGGAGATGGGGGATCGGCGCGGGTGACGCGACGGCGGAGGGAGAACAGGAGACGGGTGGACTTCTGCCTTTTTGTACTGCTAGGGCCTAGGGCAAAGTTTGCCGTAGGTAATCCAGAGCGTTGATCTCCCAACCAATGTCCACGATTAGACAGAACGATAATCCAATCACCTGGCGTTTTTCTTTTTCTTTTTCTTTTTTTCCTTTTTTTTTTTTTGCTAAGGAAAGAATGCACTCCTATCATGGACTCAGCGAAGGTTCTCGATTCATAATGGTCTTCCGCGCGTTGATGTAATCAGTGTTTTAAAGTACAGACAAGGGCATTCCTAACTTTGTGGGTAAAAAAAACTTAATTGGTTTTTAGCGAGAAAGTTTGATATACTGTGTAAGTGTCGTCTGCTGTGATAATACTAAAGAATGTGCTTTCATGTAGTCATATTTCAATTCCTATATGCGGATATTATGTTTTATTTGCCACATTCCGTAGAATAGTAACAACGATATACGATTTAGTTATGGTATATTTGTATGTTAGCTAATTGTAGCATTGGTTCAACAATGGACACTCAATATGGCCATCAGCAAACTTTGACGCTGTTAAAGGTAGATGATATAAATCCGGGTAACAACCAGATCGATGGGGCCCGTTGACCACTTGACCCTTTGGGCGCCAAGGTAGATATGAGCCGAGCAAAGAGCGTGGTAACTAATGCATTGACATGGAGAAAGTGTGGTGTCACCTTAAATTATAAAAGTAGAAACTCATATGTTTTGGACTTCCTACCGGATTGTTGACATGCAATTCTTATTTAGAACAACTCGTAGTGATTCATGTTTGAAAGTACTTTGACACTACTAGTATTATAGCTAATAAGAACATATTTTATGAGAAAATAAAGCTCAAAGTTTAATATTCATACTAAAAAAGTTTATATTAGAAGCTTTAAATTTAAACATGGTCTCTTCGTCCTTAAATATAGCAACTTAATACCGGACGAAACATATCCTAGTCCCTAAAAATATTACTTTTACTTTGATGTTTGAGTGAAACGTACTAACTAGCACCAAAATAGCCATGAGCAGTTGAACTGGATAATGTTATGTCCATGTGTTATAACAAAAACGGAACAACGATGTATTATGAGCATTTATAACTAACAGCACTGAGAGTAGCTAAAAACCTAAAACTGCATAAAAGAAACTCCATAATAAGAAAACTTTGAAAGTGCATGTACATACCGCTGATGTGAACTTCTCACTTTTAAAATTTGTAGGAATTCATTGATGTGAGGGAATCATGGGTGCAGGAATTAGCGCGGAGAGGGAGATGGCGCGGAGAGCGTGCTGGTGGGTGTGACCAAGAGTCGGTGGCACGGTAGGGCAACGGAAGAGAAAACCTAGGCTCGTTATACCATGTAGAGAGATAGATTAGAAGAATACCTCACACCTAAAAGGAGAGCGGATTGAAATATAGATATAGCCGGTGTACTACGAAGTTACAATAGATTAATTAGAGGAGATGTACATGGTAACAAATACCAATAAAAACAGATATACAATCTATAATATGGATATGGATCTCTAATACTTACGGTTTGTGTGAGATCAAGTGCTTCTCAAGACCGATTAAATGAGCGATGTGATGAGTTGTTGATATATACCCCCTCCATCCCAAAAAAAAAAGACCAATCCATGTGTGTCCAGGTTCGTAGCTAGGAATTCGTTTTCTCTTTTTGGACGGAGTAGTAAGAATGTAGCAAGTTTGAAGTAAAGGCACAGAAGAGGTTTTGAAGCTTGGTCTTCTAGCTTTCTTTTTTGATCTGTTAGCTTTTTCTTGTTTCTTTAGTTCCCCTATTGTGAGATGTTTAGTTTAAGTACCCCGTTTGTAATTTTAGTTGTTTGTATTCGTCTGTTGATATAGAGATCGGATTTCTATCCATCATTAAAAAAAAGAGTAAAGTGCATGGGCGGTCCCTAAACTTGTAGAGCTATGTCATCTAAGTCCCCAAACTTAGAAAACACATTTTTGGGTCCCTAAACTTGCTTAGCCGTACATCACTTGTCCAAATCGTATTTGACCCGATCTGCTCGCCAACGTGGACGGCCAGCGTGGAGGGGCGGGGACAGCTAGGGTGTCAAATATGCAAAGAACCCCCTATTCCCTCATCTCAGAAATCAAATCGAATCCCTTGTCCCCATTTTTCCCCACCATCTTGAGCGACGAAATCCCTAGCAAGCTCTTCTTCAATTCGACACCCTCTTTTCTGATTCCCTAGCGGCGCTATGGCGATGTCAAGATCAACTGGAGCTGTGCGCAGTTCGTCGTGTCCTACCGTGGCTACAGCACCAAAAACAACCCTGTCGGTGTGTGGCCGTTGTTGGATCCACTAGGAGCTCGACGACACCAAGCTCGGCACCGTCGCCTACAATTACTGCGCCGATGGCTGGTGTGGTTACATGAAATCCCATTGATTAATTGCTTCTAATACATCTGAGAATAAAGGCAGCATCTTTTACATTAGGTTATTTCTTCTCTCCTGTTGCAGAGCATTGGTGTCTTGCAAGCATTTTGAGTTTACATGTGCAAGTTTTATCAGCGAGATGGAAGTGGATGTATGTTTTGGTATTGGGAGGATCAATATAAGGAGTATTTGACGAATACAGGACATCTTGCAGCTTCTGGTGTCCATGCGCAGTGTCCAGCTCCTGTTGTGCATGTGTAGAGATATGCATTGGTCGAGCAGGGTTCAGAGGGACATGAATATGCTGCAGAGCAACTTGTTAGGAAGATGAACAAGACATTGGTAGGGATGTTGTCCTGTTACTAAAATGTGTAGTAGCTTGTTGTGTATTTGTCGTGGTGAACAAGATGTATGCTACCTTCAGGGCTAGTTGAAAATGTGCAATTGTCTGAAATGTACTGAAAATGCTATCTGATGAATGAAATGGTCTTTTTTTTTGTTAATTTGACATGTTTGTGAGCCATGAAATGGGTGTTTTTATGTATGAATGAAATTGAATTCTACAAAATTCAGTACTGAAACAGATCGACACACAATTTCAAATTGAGGCACACATTGGAAACACAGATTGAGACACATTCAACAATGAGACATAACATCCATTTCAGATTGTTTAAGTACGGAAAGTATTACAAAATGCATCGATTGACTTTGAACCCAGGTAGCACTGATATTGTCCAACTATCAGTTAAACCACCATGGCAGGTAGGTAATATAGCATCCATTGACTATGCACATCCTAGATTGCTGTCAACAAAATTCATGCCAGATTTTGAGGCAACAAAATATCCCGAAAATGAACTAACTACATGTATCATGTGCCGCTCCAGACTAAAATTGTCACCCAGTTCCAGCCACAACACTAGACTTCTTTAATGCAGCAGGTCCAGATTTTTTGTTTCCAGTTGTACTCTTCTTTTTCTTAGAGCGTTGTGGCCTTCCCTATCTTGGTGCTGGTTGTAAGAGGAGTAGGTCTTGATGCTGGTCTGTTAGACATGATGAACTTAGGATCTGACAAGGGGCATTGCTGCTGAGAGAGCTAAGAACTCTGACTTGGCTACAAAATAGAGAAAATCTTTAGTAGATCATTAAGAGCTAAATGGTCAGCAAATGTGTGAGAAGTAATTAACAAAATGATTACTTGATTAGCCATCTGACTGAGCACAGTGCTTCCTAGTTGTGACAGTGATTGAGATGAAGATTGGGAAGCAGCAATTGTTCTTCTATGACATCCTACATATAATAGTCAATGTATTTCATAAGACATGCATCAAAATAAATTTGTTGTAAATGACTGATTTATTTACCTGGTTCGTAACAACCGATTCTTGTTCATTGACAACTTGTGAATTCTCAATCGCAACTGCTTCTTTTGCCACGGCAACCATCTTATTGGCCTCCTCAGAACTAATCCATTGCCTTTTCAGTAGGACACGACGGTCACACACCGATGGGGTTGTTGTTGGCGCTGTAGCCACGGCAGGACACGATGAACTGCATGCAGCTCCAGTCGATCTTGACGTCGCCACAGCGCCGTTAGTGAATCGAAGAAGGGGGTGGCAAATTGAAGAAGAGCTTGCTAGGGATTTCGTCACTCAGGATGGTGGGGAAAAAAATGGGGACAGGGGATTCGATTGGATTTCTGGGATGAGGGAATAGGGGGTTCTTTACATATTTGACACCCCAGCTGACCTCGCCCCTCCAAGCTGGCAGTCCACGTTGGTGAGCAGATCGGGTCAAATACGATTTGGACAGGTGATGTACGGCTAAGCAAGTTTAGGGACCTAAAAATGTGTTTTCTAAGTTTGGGACCTAGATGACATAGCCCTACAAGTTTAGGGACCGCCCCTGCACTTTACTCTTAAAAAAACAACTTGGTTGTTTCAGAGTAACGAACAAAACAAATTGAATTTCCAGCGGTCAGAGATAACACAATAGAAAAACGTTGGTGAATTGGATCTCCTCCGTAGTTCGAGAGTTTCCACACAGTTTGCAGAAGGCAGAGCACTCTCCAAAGCTAAACAACCTTGGTTGTTCCAAAGTTTTAGCTTTGATGTCTTGATGGATATAGCCGGCACTGCTAAGATGGGTTCTTTCTTGCCCAACCTGACTCTGCTTGAAAAATATCCGGTCACAACTGCTGATCACATTAATTCGATCAGAACAAATCCACCAAACATGGTCAGAAAGACATGACCCGATTCATTTGCAGAACAAAATTTACAAAACTTCTGATCTAGAGACAAGGAAAGGAACTAGACAGCACAGCAGAAACCCAAGCTAGCCGACGGCCGGGTGATCGATCAGTAGTACCGGCTGCGATCCCGCACGGAGCAGCAGGCGAGGGAGTAGGCGAGCATGAGGATGGCGAGGACGGCGACGTTGAGCACGGCCACGGCCCTCCAGTTTCGCCTGACGGTGTCCAGCGCACTGGCCTTGCAGGCGTTGCAGCGGAAGCACAGCACGGCCTGGTCGTTGCTCCACTCCAGGCAGTCGACGTCCGCCGCGTCCAGGCCCCGCGCCGGCGCTATCCAGAACGTCTCGTTCACGCGCTCGTACCCGCAGTACACTGGCGGCTTGCAGCAGCCGGACTGCACGGTTGTCACGTCACAGAGGTAGTCAGATACTACGGTTGTGTTTAGTTCACACTGAAGTTTGGAAGTTTGGTTAAAATTGGTACGATATGATAAAAAAGTTGTGTGTATGAAATATTTGATGTGATGGAAAGTTGAAGGTTTGGAAATAAAAAAACCTTGGAACTAAACAGGACCTACGTGACACAGGACCTACGTGACACACTTGATAGTGTTTTTTGGTAACTGATAGTAGTAGTACTTGTATAGTTGTATTGCTACTGATAAATCGATTCATATGCATACATCTTTTGTAAAATCTCAGAAATTAAGAAACTCATTGCAACATTCAATCTTGAATACTCCCTCGGTACCGCTCACCAAGGCACGCACGCATTTCATTAGATTATCATTTAAATTTACTTTTAGATTATTATAATTTTGTTGCTACAAATATTATAGCATATGTCAAAGATTAGTTTTAAAGATTCCGTCAAGTTTAACCGCGGTGAGCGGAACAGAGGGAGTAAATGAAAACGAACAAGGTAATACCTATTTCCTTTTTAAATTTTATAAAAAGGGTAAAAGGCCATTGATTAGTTGATTTTTACTGGTAGTATTAGCTCACATGGAACGAGAAAGAATTAAAAACTGAAGTGATGCGTTGAATGGAACAGGTATTATTCGGTCTCTGGCGAGTGGGTCCGTGCATGAGGCATGCAATGCAAAATGCAACAAGCTAATGGATCCATGCAAACCTGGATTAGCGGCAGATGCAGACGGTAGAACTCGCCGGGGTTGATCCCGGCGAGAGGGCCGCCGCACACGGCCGCGTCGGCCATGCAGCTCTCGATCCGGTGCCACGTCTCGTAATCCTCGATCCTGGCACGCAGCCACTCCGAGTAGTCCCTGACCCGGTAGTCCCCGTAGCCGGTGCCGGACACGGCGGTGGCGACGCCCCTGTTGGTGACGACGAACACGAAGGCGGTGACGAAGAACATGCCGACGATGAGCAGGAACATGGCGGACGCGTAGGCCCAGAGGAGCGCCGCGCCGCGGCAGCAGGTAACTCCGGCGATCGCCATGAGGGAGAGGAGGAGCGCCGCGCTGCCGAGCGCCACGGCGGGCACCCGCACAAGGCGCTGGCACTCGCTGGCCGGGTGGTCGAGGAGGTAGGCGCCCGCGCCGATGAGCGGCACGGAGGCGAGGAGGGCGGCGAAGCTCAGGGCGCCCAGGACGCCATTGGAGAACCGCCCCATGGCTAAGCTGAGGTTCAGCTCAGCTCAGCTCAGCCCCCGGGCGGTTTGGCACTCGCGGCTGCAGGGAGTTTCGCTGCTGATTTTGGGGATCTCTCGTGGAATTTGCAGCTGCGTCGCGTCGTCTCGGTTTGGCGGTTTGGGGTTCAAGGCGACAGAGCCAGAGAAGAAAATCGATCCATGGCGCTGGGCTGAAATCGCGGGAGTTGCTCGCTCAGATGGTTCTTGCAAATCACTTGGTCACGATTTGACTAGAGCTCACATGGAGGGCTAGAACTGAGCAGGCAGAGACCAAGACCTCGGGTCGAGTAGGCTCAGTCGGGGATTCAGCAGAAAAGATACTCCCTCCATTATCTAATATAAGAGATTTTAACATTTTACTTACACTGTTTAACCATTTATCTTATTTAAAAAATTTTGAAATATTATTCATTTTATTTGTGACTTACTTTATTATCCAAAGTACTTTAAACATAACTTTTCGTTTTTTATATTAGCATAAATTTTTTAAATAAGACGAGTGATCAAACAATACAAGTAAAATATCAAAATATCTTATATTAGGGGACGGAGGGAGTACAACTTAACAGGAGAACATCCATGAAAGGCACCAGATGGCATCATGGATTCATGGCATGATTTTAAACCAATACATCTGCGCTGCAAATGCAGGGCTGAAATTGTTTCGGTTCATTAAGAAGTAAAGATCCAAAAATGTTATCCAACAGAGCAAACATTTGCTGCCAAGAAGGAATGAAACGTATGGCCTTCAACAGGGTAGCAGCACTGCGTCTCTGAGGATAGATATCCAAAGTGGGCAGCATTAGTATGGCTTGAATTTCCGTTGAGCACGAAGCTGCTGTATCCTTTTCTTGTCCTGCTCAAACTTGCTCTGCAGCATCGCGAGTTCTGCGCAAGAAACAGAGAGTTGGGAGTTAGCTCCAGGCAGCTTTTGCCATTTTGCGACCCTAAAAAGTTGCAGAAAATACATCATGCACCACAGTAATTGAAACAAATTTGCTGCCCTTTATCTCCTGCTATCAAACTATGGGAGGAAGGGCAGCATGCCCTTATGATAACCATCTCGCAAAAGAAAAAAAATACTTCTTACATAGCCATATACAAAATGGGTTTACTTCACTTGGTACACAGAAGAGGAAGGACAAAAATATTGTGGACCTGTAATTACAACCTAGACGCGAATCTATATGGTGACCCACTGTTTGAATGAGATTTTCTAACAGAGCACCCAAATGGTCATGAGCAGTTGAACTGAATAATGTTTGAAGTCCCAGATGTACATGCTATAACTAAAACAGCACAGTGATGAACATATTTTGACTAATAGCACTGAGAGTAGATAAAACTGCATAAAAGATACTCCATAATAGAAAGCTTCGAAAGAGCATATACATACCACTGATGTGAGCTTCTCGCTTTTGAAATCTGTAGAAATTCATATCAACTTCCTTGGGTTTCTTATTAGCCATTTTCTCCTGCATTGCAGCTAGAGATACAGAGCCAACAGCTGTTCCAGTTTCAGTATCTGTGGTCTTTTTCCTACCCTTATGATGAACCACAACTGTCCATCCATCCTCAGCAGCGCGTGCTTCCCTCTCTTTCCTCTCCTGAATAAATCAAGCAAGTGTCAGGCAACAACCAAACTAAAGATCATTTTGGCAACAAAAGTACTTTTTTCAGAAGAAGACCCAACATCCAGAAGAAGTCTTGCACTACCTCAAGAATAGTTAAAAACCAGATACGCAAATAGTGTGAACACTGCAACAGTCACTCAACACTTCAAGAAACAGGTATAATTTTCACAAAACTAGGTTTGTACCATACTAGACTGAATGTTTCCAGTTGTTTTCCAGAGAAGAAACTTGTAATAAGGAAATTGAAGTGTCATTTTGATTCTTCAACAGGAGGAAGGAAGAGGAGGAAGAGTACACACCTGCTCTTCTTGTTCCTCATGAGCAGTTATAAACTCATCTATTCTTTGCTGCAACACTTTCAAGCCGGGCCTCTTCTGTTTGTACTCTAGGACCCATTCTGTTAAGACATCAAACAATCACAGGTCAGTTTTGCACTTTAAATGCACCAGTTTGAAACATATACAATGGAGCATAACTATATCAAACAAGAGCAGATTGGTTGGACCCCAGGACCGCTCCAATTGGAGGAACCAGCAAGCTGATCTTCAGGTACACTTATCAATTTTACTATGAACTCAGTGCCTGAACAGAATTTCCTACAGATTCTTTCCACTAATTAAGTTACTTGGTTTCAAAGGATATTTGATTAAGTTGTTTTTTGGATACATTGAATTTTTTGTTGTCTTTTTGTGAAATTTACTTTTCCACCAAACAAACTCCATGGATAAAGTCAGCATGGGACAACCGTTTATTATATCAGTGATCAAGATTGAAAACTAAAGCAATTACTTTTCATTCCTCTGGAACAATCTTCATCAACAGATTGAATCTCATCGACATTTGCAGTATCAACTTCACCATGCCTGTCCAACTTGTTCTCTCTGCTGGATTCATGCTTATCCTTTTTGCTGCTTTTCCCTGATTTCTTTGTTTTCTCTACAGTCAATAGATCAATTACTGTCAACAAGTCTAAACAGAATATTTTTCAAATACTTCAGAATAACTTCGATTTGATACAAGTATAAAGTCCCTACTGGTCTTGCTTTTATTTCCCCTCTTCACTTCTTCAGGCTCCCCTATATCCATATCTCCACTCTCTGCTGTGAGTTGGTTAACACGGGCTGCACAAAATAAATCCAGATATACTGTTTAACTAAGGAAATGATGAGTAGTTTACAAAATCCAAAAAGAGATAGTGGCATAGTGAAGGAGTTAGGAATATAGTTCGTTACAAGAAAATGGTAATGGAGTAGCAAACAAGATACACTACCAGTTGGAGTTTCTTCATCTTGATTCCCATGCAAGACTTCATCTGCATTATTGGGCTCATCAGAGCTCCTCCGGTCCTTCTTCAGCTTAGGCGTTCCTGCATTAATTCTGTCAGACAAACTTTGATGCTCCTCAACAGGATTACTGCCTTCTTTGAGATTCTTTTTGCTCTTCTTCTTGTTCTTCAACTTTGTCTCATCCTTTTTACTCGTCAAGAGTTCCAACATGTCATCAGAATCAGTCTGACTGCTCTTTAGTTTCATTTGCTTCTTCTGTTTCATCGCTACAACCTTCTTCTTTCGTACAAGTCCTTTATCTAGCAACCAAAGATGAACAGGTAAAACACTATGCAGAAAACATAACTAAATTTCATGCTTTTGTCCTGCAATGTAAACATATCCCTAATAAACAACATAAAGAGCTAAAAATAATACAATAAGGAATTCATAGAGAATTATCTGATTCTCATGCTACGGCACGGCTAACAAATCAGCAACCACAGTGACACTCCCATTTCCTTAATAGGTTTGCCGATCTTAGCTACATCATTGCTTCCACCTTTGCAGGTAATCAAGGTGATAATTTGAGCTACTAGACCACTACTATAGGTTTCATCATTGATTACTAATTAAACGACGCGATTCAAATAAAATTGGGAGTACATAGCGAGAGAAAAAAAAATGTTAATACCTTCTGCGGTGCCATGTTCAGCAGCAACCTCATTCTCAACAGGACCATTCAAAGTCCTGTCCTTCTTTCTCTTCAAGTCCTTCCTCTTCACTCCAAGCACTAATTTCTTATCCGCTTTAGCTTCCCGTGAGGCCTTCTTGTCTGTAGTAGAACAAGCTTTTACTTTCGTCTCTCATTTCGAACGAATCTAACAGAGAAACTGTGGGATGCATAATGGAAGAGAGGACGCACCTTTGGATTTGCCCATGCCAACGAATTAAGAACAATCAAGCCGACACGAGAAAGGCCGCGGATAGGTCTCACGGAGCCGACACGAGAAAGGCCGCGGATAGGCCTCACTCCGTGAGAGGCCGCGGGGAGTGGTGGGCGCAGCGCCGCAGCCTGCGGGGAGTGGTCGTGGCGCTGTCTGACGCCGTCGAAGAGCTCGCGGTCAGAGGCGAGGCGGTGCCAGCGATGGCGAGGCAAGCGTCGCGGTGCCGTTGGCGAGGGCGAGCCCGCTAGGGCGAAGCGGGCAACCGGCGGCGGCGGCGGCGGGCGACCGGTGGTGGGCGGCGATTTGGCGGCGGCGACTCTGAAGCCTGGGAGAAACGAGGAGGGTGTAGGGTTTGGGGGAATTTTCTTTCTCAAAAATTAATTTATAGCTCTTCTGACAGGTGGGCCTAGATGGAGGTGGTCCCACATTTCAGTCACTAACCATAGGTGACACAGCTTTCGTCTCGAGTCCAAAAGCCCTAAAAACTCCAGAACCAACCAAAAGGCGCGCGAACACACGAGTCGGCGGCGGCGCGGCGATGGGGAGCAACACGGAGGTGGAGAAGAAGAAGGCCCCAACGGCGCTCGCGCCCATCGCGAAGCCTCTCGCCGGCAAGAAGCTCTGCAAGCGAACCCTCAAGCTCGTCCGGCGAGGTTCCTGAGAGACTTTTTTTTTTTAATTTCGGGCCGCCAAATTCCAATCTCTGTTGTTTTCTTTTGCAGTTTAAGGTTTTTTTATCATGCTTTTGGTCGTTCCTATGTTTTCTTTCCCAGCATCGGAGGCCAAGTGCCTGAAGCGGGGAGTCAAGGAGGTGGTCAAGAGCATCCGTCGTGGGAACAAAGGGTTAGGACTTAATATCTCTTCTTCTCTAGCATGTACTTCCTCCACTTTCTAGCATATTGGCCACATTCATATATATATATATATATATATATATATATATATACACACACGTGCGCGCGCGCGCGCCTAGATTCATTAACATTTATATGAATGTGGGCAATGCTAGAAAGTCTTATAACCTGAAACAATTTTTTTTTCTTGTTGTTTATAACTTCTCTAGCATGTAATTTTTTTTCTTGCTGTTTAGTAACCAGTAATTGGTTGGTTTTGCTATGTACAATTGTGTTAACCAAGAGTATCTTAGTTCACTTGAAGGACATTGGGCTGTGATCTTTGAGCTATGTCCAATTGTGCACTTGCTTTTCGTGATGTAACCGATGGTCATAGCAATCAGCGAATAGGATATCATTTCCATTAGATGGTCCGCGCCATGTCTCATTGACATTGAGGAATACATTATGTTGTAACATGTTTACTAAAAAAACGTATTATGTTAGTCTTTTTGATCATGGGTTTATCCATTTTGTTGTGGTATGGAGTTATGACCATTGATAGATTGTTTGCATACTTTGATGTTTTATCAGCTGTGCTGTTTATATATCATTCTCAGTGGTTTGTCTTGCATAATGTCACTGACAACTGGGTTTGGTCTTTGTAGGTTGTGTGTAATTGCTGGGAATATTTCTCCTATCGATGTGATTACACATGTTCCAATACTTTGTGAGGAAGCTAATATTCCTTACATATATGTGCCATCAAAAGAGGTGTGTTGCATATTTTTCCTGCCTCATGTAGGTTCAATGCACTGTCAATCACCCAGTAGTATTATCATTTCATTATTACACCAAATCTTATAAGATGACATTAGATAGTGACATTGTTGCTACCTGCTACTGTATTTATCACCTAAGAAAGCCAAACGTCTACCAGTTCATGTCTTCAAGCTACGATGATATGTTGTACAATTGTACAACTTTGGTTTATTTGTTTGGTTCTTTCACATATTGGTTATCAGATGTTTTCCACTTGTAAATAATCTAAAAATTATTTGAAACTTCTCATCTTTTTTTTTTAATAAGTACTCTGAGCTGGAAGGAAGATGCATCAAATTTGAATTGCTCGGGTTTCACTCTTTTGCATCGTTCAGATGGGCACGTAACATTTTCTTCAGAAGTCTGCAAACCTGAAATATATCCAATCATGTAACAAGACTGAAGTTGAGATAATTAGAAGTGGATAGGAATCTATACTTTTTCTGCTGTCAATTTTATTATCAATTACCTATATAACTGCCCGTATACCATACTGGGAAGGAAAATAGGTACCACCAATTGGCTGTGAGGAGTGGTTTGGAACTTTGGATGAGGGATTGGTTCCGAAGTTTCAGAATTTGATCCCAATCCTTCCTATCCAAACAGATCCTAACTTGTGATTTCACTTATATTGTGGCAGGCTGGAGTGATTGAGCCGTTGAGGTAGATGTTACCCTAAGTTACATAATGGGATTGTTCCTCTGTACAGGATCTTGCTACTGCCGGGACTACTAAGAGGCCTACCTGTTGCGTCCTGGTTATGACCAAGCCTGCCAAGGGGGAGATCAATGAAGAGGTGAAGGAGAAACTGAAGTCAGACTACGACCATGTTGTAGCTGAAGTTGCAGAGGTTACATCTTCAATGTTCTGAGTACAACGCCCAGCCCCAGGGCCATAGTAAATTAGTGATAGAAACCCAGGCACCATGGCTGCTCACATCTTTCTATATGTATTATGTGAACATGAAGGTTGCTCTACTAGTTTACCCCTGTCGGATCATGCTGTTTCTCTGTTGATTAGCATAAGCTAGTCAATTGTAATGAAACCTGGTGAGCTGATCATTTACTCTCCAGTAAGAAGTCCCTGTCCCAAGGCCCAGATATGCAATACCTGGGCACCCCAGATCAGAAAACTCACCAAAGTCATGAGGTGTTGTGTGTTAAGTTGCTCGTGGTTATGTTCATATCCTGTATCCATTTTTCCAATTGGTCGATCCTGAAAAATGCGGCAAAAGATTCTTGTTTCTGATTGCCTGATGGCCAAAGCGCTCGTCTTCGTGGCTTCTTGTCATGAGGTGTTTTGGACCACCGGAATTGTGCAGCATTGGCATGGTACATCCGTGCAGTTTGGCCACCGAGGTGCAGCCATGCGGCCACCGATGCAGCGATGCTTCAGAATTCAGAGCTGGTCGCACTTCGCAGAGCGCCAGAGAGCCAGCCAGTGACTCGGGGAGCAACTCAGGTTTTGGCATTGGATCTGATCCATCTGGCATTTCATCTGACGGGGAAATTTGGCCGCCTTTGTTTGGAATCTTGTGGCAGATACAAGACAAAGCACACAGGGAAGGTTCTGCAACTATCCCTTCCCTTGTCATACCGTGCAAGACTTGCAGCACAATGTTAGTAAATACTCCTACTAACATGATATGTACTCCGTAGTTAGGATTGGATAAGATAGGACATAATCAGTTTGTAGCATCCATATGATCATATATGGATGCCACAAATTGTGTTCCAAGCTGATCATATATGAAACAAGTAATACGTTTGCCAAACTCAATGATATGTAGTTTATGCTTAGGATTAGCTAGGATAGGACATAATTAGTTTACATTGATCCAATTGTCATGGTAGGATGATTAGATTCTGTCTTAAGTTCTTAATGATACACTCTAACATAACCTAAACAAAAGCTTCCTATCTTGTCCTATGCAGTCAAGGTAGGGATTGCATTGAGATGATAGGAAAGTGAAGGCATGATAGCGAGCATGTGGAACAGTGGAAGCTGTAGCCCGTAGGACAGTGAGAACTACCATTTCACAGGTATGATCAGGCACAGCTCTCAAGGTTCCAACTGCCCTTCCCAACTCCACCCAAATAACGGAGTGGGTTTAGGATTCTAATGCATGGCCAAGCCTGTGGAATATGCAGATTCTCTTGGGATGACCATGCCTTCAGCTCGGACAAGGGGAAAGGGTCCATCCAAAATGGCAAATGGCCTAGTTTGGCATAGTGGTTCGAGTTCACTCGCCCTTTTGTTATGGAGGACCAAATTACGCTACACAAACATGTTCAGACTTATGGTTGTAGCATCTTCAAATTTAAACTAGAAATATAGCTATATTTTGGGTGAAACAGGGGGAGGACCAATGGCCTGCCCCCCCTCCAACAACATACTTTATATATATAATTATCTAATCTATTAGGTAATTAGGCCTTTTACAAAATTCTTAGGCCCATATTTATGTTTAAATTCTAACTCCGCCATTTTTTAGGACGAAGAGAGTACACAGTATATGTTCTAGGGGTGAGTTTGTTTGGGACTTTGCCAAGATAAAAGCTAGGTTAGCTTTTTTTTTTAGATAATGAAAGCTAGGTTAGCTAGGGCCTGTTTGGAAGAGAGGGGCTAAACTGAGGGACTTATGCTTTTGTGAGAGGGACTAAAGTTTAGTCCCTAACTCCCAAACACCCCCTAGTCATATTTGGTGATAGTAGTTTGCATCCAAGGTCCAGCTGCAATTGCAAGTGATCATGGTCAGCTACTCATCTTGCCAGATTGGAATAGCACCAGATATGGCTTGTGATGTTGTTTTTTCCATTTACCGGAGCGTCTGTACTGTACAACAGTGGCCTTGCTGGTCAAAGGCACTGAACGATGGAGCATATACGGCGTACAGAAGATCAGCAGCATCTTTTGCTGATTGTGTTGGTCACAGTACTTGAAGGTTGAGATCACCTGGTCAAAACCAAGAAGCCTGTGACGTTGGCAATATGTGTGGAGCAGTGGGATGCAAAGATCTTCTACTGTTCTCTATCCTGCTTGTTACTGTGTGGTGTGCACTGCAGCTGCATGCCTGCATGATTGTGAACGTTGGTTGGTTCAGCCGTTTTGTTTGAAAGTACCCTTCTTGACCTTTAAAGATCAGCTGTGTTCATGATTTCTATTGCCACTAATTAAGCCTTTCCGCCATTGAGTTTAAACAACAAAGCTAATGATGACATGATGCCGTCTTCAGTAGGAAGTTGAGATTAAGACAAGTGAAGCACTGTTATGATCTATATACCTAATGCTTTGAGCTTGATCAGGCATGTTCTACTCTGCTCGTGCATCAACTTTCAACTTTCAAGCGAGCAAGCAAGCTGGAATTGTAATGCTGTCTATACGGATAAACCTGCAGGTCACCTTTTGAGGGACCTCTGCCATACATTTTCACACCTTTTATACCACATCTATACGGTAGTATTTTCGTAGTACAACCACAACATGGCCCTTTCACACACACACACACACACACACACACTGATACACACAGCAAAGCAAGGATAGCAAAGGGCAAGAGAAAAGGTGCGGGGCGGCAAAGGCACCAAAGCATCACTCATTTCACTGAAAAGAGATGTCACATCTTTCATGCAAGGTAGCCACAATGATTTCTCCCTCCTAAAAGGAAAAGCAACATGGGCATGCCATTCCATCCCGTCTGCAGATCAAGAAGGTTGATGGCCTCGTGGAGCATCAGACTAACAGCAATATCCTAAGTTAACAACACTCAAATCTTGGTTTTCTTGAACCTCACTCTTCTATATATACAACATACTATCCACTTCTAAACTATAAGTACCATGACATGACAAAGGAAAGTATGGATGGCCTCTGGTTCAATACACTAATATTTCCTCAGAAAAGTCTGCTCTTAATTGGAAGTATGTATGAGTATCAGCATGGTATTGTTTGATGCCAACTGAATTGATACAATGTGATGTGTAAGAACCAAGGTTGTTGCTACAGTGAGAACAGAGCCACAGGACAGAATTACGTTGCTTTTAATTTGATTTTGATTCTTCATCCACAATGCATGATGGCCAAAATTCTCCTGTCGAGTTCCTCTCAGTGCCTCCACTTCAGGTCAGGTGAGAGCACTTCCTCCCTGTCATTATCCGCCCTACTTCCCATCAAAGATACTTTGCTGCTTTGTTTATTGCCCCCAAAATAATTCTCGCACACTTACCTAGCTAATTGTCCAACTGCCCCTACCTTGGAGAATTCTTTTCTTACAAGAATCCCTCAAAGGTGCTGTTGTGACCTGTGACAGTGTTACTGCCACTGCTGCACTGCACACACCCATACCCATACTCCAATAAAGCTGATGTCTATCTTGGATGGGATCAATACCAATCTGCTGCTTTAGGCTTAGATTAGCCTAGACCCTTTTGAGTTAACAACACATTCACTGTTTTTCATAACCTGATTTTTTTTTTCATTTTCCACAGGCTCAAACCCCAAGAACACAGAAAAGGAATGCCCCCCTCTCATTTGTTCCAGTTTTCTATTGCAAGCAGGGTCAGGTGGCAGGCATGTTTGTTCCCTCTCGCCCCTCCTTTTGCGCTTTTGCTTGCGGCCAGAACACAAGCATCTTCTTTTGTGTCATTTGCTACTGACAGCGGCTCAGAGGCCTCTGGCAATTGTGAGAAGAGAAGGCTGCATGCTTCTTTTCCTTGGCCTCACCCTTCCTCCATGTTTGAACACACCACCACAAGCGATTAGCCCTTCCTCTCCTGCTTCCGCCCTTCCATGGCAATGGAGGTGGCTCTTGCGGTTTACTCACTGGTGTTGCTTGCCTCCTTCTCCTTCCCTTGCAGGCTTGCAAGTGCCCTCCTCTCTCCCAAGGGTGTAAACTATGAAGGTTAATATTCCTTCCTCAAATCAAGAACTCTTTTTTTGGTTTTCGTTTGTTTTTTGGCTGCATTGGTGCTTGCTACCTTGTTTTGTACTCCCATATGAAGAACTCTCCCGTGGTTCTTCTTTAGTTGTTTCTCTAGCACTGATTTGTGCTTGTGCGTGTCATAATCTCATCTCCAGTGCAAGCTCTCATGATGATCAAGACTTCCCTCAAGGATCCTCACGGTGTGCTCAAGAACTGGGACCAAGACTCCGTGGATCCTTGCAGCTGGACCATGGTCACTTGCTCACCTGAGAACCTTGTCACTGGCCTGTAAGCAAGCCATCTAGAGTATCATATTTTTACTCAACCCCAACATATCTTGACAAGTTTCCTTTGACTTGCTGACCTACCATTATTTGTTTGCTTGTCTGAATTTGATAGGGAGGCTCCAAGCCAGAATCTTTCTGGCCTGCTCTCCGCAAGCATAGGCAACTTGACCAATCTTGAGATAGTGTAAGTTTTACCTGTCGTGATTAGCCTTTGCGATCATCGCTGTAGATTCTGCTTCCATTATGTTTCTTGAGTGGGAAGAGATCCTAATATGTCTTGTTTGTAGTCTTCTGCAGAACAACAACATCAATGGTCCAATTCCAGAAGAGATTGGCAGGCTAACAAAACTCAAAACACTTGATCTCTCCAGTAACCACTTCTCTGGTGGAATCCCAAACTCAGTAGGCCACCTCGAAAGCCTCCAGTACTTGTAAGTGCAGTGCAGTTCTGTTCTGTTCTGGTAGCCTTGAATGAGATTCCCCATTTGTAACTTGTCCTCTCAGAAGTCACAATTGGTGTAACTCTTCTTATTCTTTTCCATTTTGCTGCTACCAGGAGGCTCAACAACAACACCCTGTCTGGTGCATACCCTTCATCATCAGCTAATTTATCACAGCTTGTTTTCCTGTGAGTATCCTTTGCTTGTTTTTCTGTTTGGTGATATCTGTCCTATGTTGTATGTGCGCTGTGCCGGTTCTTATTGTGGACTTGCATTTTTCAGGGACCTTTCGTATAATAATCTGAGTGGTCCAGTACCTGGTTCTTTGGCAAGAACGTTCAAGTAAGTATGCAGTCTAACACCTCAAAAAACAGCTACAGGTTAAATTTGTTGTAAACTACCTCCAAGGAAAACAAAATTTGCCTCAAAATTTTGCTTATCTGTTGCAGTATAGTGGGGAATCCGTTGATCTGTGCTGCGGGTACGGAACATGATTGTTATGGAACTTTACCAATGCCGATGTCCTACAGCCTGAATAATACACAGGGTATGCATAAATCACCTTGCAAATTGAAATTTGCATTGGCCATGTAGATAGCAATTGCTCTAATGGCCTTCTATCAATAGGTACTCTGATGCCAGCAAAATCTAAAAGCCACAAGGTTGCAATTGCATTTGGTTCTACAATTGGCTGCATCAGCTTCCTTATCCCTGTTATGGGATTGCTGTTCTGGTGGAGGCATAGGCGAAACCATCAAATTCTTTTTGATGTTGATGGTAAGCAAAAAGCCAAACTACTATCCATAATGCCTCAATGCTCGTCAAACTTGGGGGCATACTGGCATGCGATGGTTGTTTTCATTGTAACGCATTGGCTATTGCAGAGCAACACACAGAGAATGTCAACCTAGGAAATGTGAAGAGGTTTCAGTTCAGAGAGCTTCAGGTTGCAACAGAGAACTTCAGCAATAAGAACATCTTAGGAAAAGGCGGCTTTGGAAACGTTTACCGGGGAAAGCTACCAGATGGAACTGTTGTAGCTGTCAAGAGGCTGAAAGATGGTAATGCTGCAGGCGGGCAGGCACAGTTTCAGACTGAAGTTGAGATGATCAGCTTGGCGCTTCACCGGAACCTCCTCAGGCTTTATGGGTTCTGCATGACTGCTACTGAGAGGCTTCTGGTATATCCATACATGTCAAATGGGAGTGTCGCATTGCGTCTGAAAGGTAAGAACATCATGATTTCAAGATGGTTCATGAATTCCAAAATTATAAATCAAACAGTAATTCCATCATAAAATAGCTAAATGAAATAGTAATGAATTGTTCCTCAGTTCTTGACAAGAGAGCTTCTTATTTAATCCTTTCATTTCTATATCGTTTTCATTGGCCAAAACTTTTTTAAAAAAGAATATGATTCCCATATAACCAATTTTGTTCTCACGTGACTAATTATAGGGAAGCCACCATTGGACTGGATCACCAGACAGAGGATAGCACTCGGTGCAGCAAGAGGCCTACTGTACCTGCACGAGCAGTGTGACCCCAAGATTATTCATAGGGACGTAAAGGCAGCCAACATATTGCTTGATGACTACTGTGAAGCCATTGTTGGAGATTTTGGGCTTGCCAAGCTCCTAGATCATCGTGACTCACATGTCACCACAGCTGTCAGGGGTACCGTTGGGCACATTGCCCCGGAATACCTCTCCACCGGCCAGTCATCTGAGAAGACCGACGTCTTTGGTTTTGGAATTCTGCTGCTTGAATTGATCACTGGTCAAACTGCACTTGAATTTGGGAAGTCATCAAATCAGAAGGGAGCCATGCTGGACTGGGTAAGTTCATTACCATTTCCAAAGAGTTTGGAGCATGGGAAAATTATCGCTAGAATAAGGCTAGCATATCTGTCTACCAAATCTTGTCTCTTGCCTTGACATTGGCTTGTGTTCAGGTGAAGAAGATGCACCAGGAGAAGAAGCTCGACGTGCTTGTCGACAAGGGCCTGAGAAGCAACTACGACCGTGTCGAGCTGGAGGAGATGGTGCAGGTGGCACTGCTGTGCACCCAATATCTCCCTGGTCACAGGCCCAGGATGTCAGAGGTGGTCAGGATGCTGGAGGGAGATGGACTGGCAGAGCGGTGGGAAGCATCCCAGCGCGCTGACTCACACAAGTTCAAAGTGCCTGAGTTCACCTTCGGTCGCTGCTACTCTGACCTGACGGATGACTCGTCATTGCTGGTCCAGGCAGTCGAGCTCTCTGGGCCGAGATGACACGATAACAAATAGTGGAAGGCAAACCATCATTAGTTGTTTGCAGCAGGATCTGTACAGCAAGAGACACCACTGTACAATGGAAAAATAGCCAAAAAAAAAAATTTAAAGCAAGCAACTGCATGCCAATGCAAAATCACAAATCGAAGCAGGTATCAGATCAGCTGTACAAAGATTAAAAGAAGAGCACTTCCTAGGCATAGGATATTTCTACTTTTACAGATTCTGTAACTATTGGTAGAATAAGTTTGCAGAGCAATATTTTTCAAGATGTAACATTTTGTTTATGCTTTTTTCCTCCCTTGTACCTTTTGCCTTAGCTAGTGTTAGTTAAAAAAGAAACTGTTGTCATTGGATTATAAAGACTTGGCAATGACATTTTTGTGCATTGATGCAAAGCTTGAAAATGCATCAAATAACACTGACAACCATCTGCATCAAATACAATAGGATAAACAAAATGCATTCTTACCTTCAAACTACCTCTGATGTGCCGACACATGATGCTAACAATCTCTTGGTTTCATAGCCTCTTTGTATCTGTGCCTAACCAACATACTCGTTATAATCCATCAGGGGCGGTTTATAATAGCTCAGACCACCTTGATAAGCTAATAGCTCAGGGAAAGCTGTCTCTGATCAAAGTTAGTTCAATATATCTAATCTAGACATCTAGTGGCACAAACATTAAGTTGTGAAATGCATGAGGAAAGGATGAGTAGACAATTTTTTGGAAATGACATCATCTCTGTATTGAGCATACTCAAATTCAACAGAATTTAACACCTTATAAGTAAATCGGCCAAACTGGTTTACTAAATTTTGACATTGGTAAAACAAATGGTTCCAACTTACCAGAAAGCATTGTTCCCTTTTGTTCTAGGTGTGCCAAATTGCAACAAATCTTTATCAGAAAATGGCGTTGCACTTGAGGATTGCCATCAAGACAAGCAGCATAGAAACAACATCTACGGAAAACCACAAGATTGGCACACAGCACTCCTCACCGCCAAGAATGACGCCACGTGTCACTACGGGTTCGCCACTCTCTTAGTAGTACTCCCTACTGAACTTCCAACATTGAATTCCCAGTCACACTCCCAAGTGAGTTCAAGAAAAACTTCAAAAGCGGGAGTGAGAGGGAACAGAAGAAGATGCATACCCACATCAATAGGGACACATTAAACACAAGCTTCAATCTTTGCTAAGACCTCTCTATGTTATGAATTGCAAGTTGCAAAATTTATATGCTCATGAATTGTAATTTCAGCAGTAACCTTTTTGAGCAGGAAGCTGGAGGGAGAGGCTTTCCATGGGGGTCGGGCCATGCGACGGATGTCATCGCTGATTCAACTACTAGGTTCATTCTGCTGATCATGTCACATCTCGTCATCGCCGTCTGCAAAGCCAATGAGTGCACCCCTCAGGCCTCAGTGTTGGCATGCTGTGCAGATGCAGTTGCACTGTGTACTACCTGTGATGCAGAGGTTCACTCTGCAAATCCACTTGCTCAGAGGCACCAAGAGTACCTGTGCTACCACTCCCAGTTGCCTCTGGTTTAATTAGGCAGAAGCTGCCCATGGAAGCGAGGAAGATGAAGTGAACTCTTGGCTCCTGCTCAGCAGAGGTTCTGATGACAGAGGTTGTACACTTGTACTGACTCCAAAAGCAATAACAGGCATATCGGGACGGGCTGATGGTGTGAAAAATTAGATGCATACATAACATGGACACAAACTTCTAGTGATTAAATATCACTATCAGGTATAGTCTTAACATATATTTATTGATTGAGTATAACTAGGCAGTTCCTTCAAAATATGTATTAACCAAAAACTAAAGGTACTTTGGCTAAAAAAATTAAAAGTGTGCAAATACATGCAAAGGTTCCACAGGAACTAACATTGACCTAGGATAAAAGGAAGAAACCAACAGGACATTGAAATAGTTCAGAAACCAATATGACAATTTTTGCTTCCTTACCTTAATCAACCAATCCATCTTGCTTAAAGCTTTGACCATAAATTGTGCGATTCTGACTTCCAATCATTTCAAATCAACTAGTAGTTGAATATTGATTCTTTTTTAAAAAAAAGGCTCCTGCCCTTCTCACTAAAAAAGGCTCCTCACTGTATTCATTTGGTAATTTAGTATAACTGAACTAAAATTCCAACCACTAGAATCAATGGCAAGATCACCTTACAACTTATCCCCCTAAACTAATAAATAAATGATCGGAATGATTGAGGAAAGAAAGAGAATGTCGTGTATACTGATTAGTCATGTAACAAAGCAAGACCAATTTTCACTATGGTTTATCAGATTGTACTGGAATCTTTGAACAACTCCTTATGTTACTTTCATATAACAGCCACGCCATAATGTTTTAATAAACAACTATTCATGGTGCGTACAGTTACACAAAATAAATTGTGAACATGACATTGCCATGGGTGCCATCAAACTATAGCTAGGGAATGTATATTGTTCTTGTGCCTAGTGATGATAAATTCCAAGATTCTGAAATAGCAAAGCTATAAAGAATTGAAACTTTGAGATACAACTAATGGTTGTTCTGGCAGAAGATAAAATCCGCAGAAGATGATCAAAGATTAGAATGCTGCGGATCCAGGAAAGATTAATAGGAGGGTCTGAACAAACTATACAAAATTATAGACCCCTCTAATAGATGTATGACAGAAAATGTTAGTGGGGTCTTCATGGGGTCTCCCATGGTTACAATACAGGTAGTGGGGCCTCAAGACCCCAGAGACCCCATGGTGGATCTGCCACTGAATGCTATATAATTCCGAAGAAATTTTAACTTATGTGGACTATTAACATAACAGGCAGTTAGTGCTTCCTATCTCAAAGATGATTGACAGAAATTATGATTATATTTTACAATGTTAACTACAAACGTGTATAGGACACCTGAATGTAATATCTTGGTAAATGCAGTAAAGAAATATAAAATACCTTTGTAAAGGGGACACATTGTTATATGCTTCTGTACTATCATATGTAAAAGGTCAACCTGCACTTTAGCTCTAAGCAAGGTTATCAAATGCAATATACTGCAGTGCTATCATGAACAACTTGATTGAAAGGTTGCATGGACTGAGCTGGTAGAGGCAGATATGTGCACAACTCATGTTTTTCCATTAAGTACTGCGTAGATACTATACAGTATGGGGAGTATGGTCGCAAGACCGAAACTCAAAGGAATTGACTTGACATAAGTTTACATAAATGAACAATGCCCAGGTGACATCTATCTATGATGTTCATCCAGATAAGTGCACTAATGTACTGTGTACCTATGAAGAGCCAAGTAAAACAGAACTGCGATTTGAAGACACAGCACAGCAATGTAATATTTCAGCATAATGTCATGGTGAAGCAGTTAAACAGACCAATCCTTTGCTCCTTCAGGATCTACACATATAAATCAATCCTCATGTTCTTCTTCACCTTCAGAATCTACAGAAAGGCAGGAGATAGTGAACACCATGAATTCATGATACATACATAAATATTGGACCTATATTATGTGATGTATAACAGATGACCCCACATGATGATATATTCATTTAACCAATGGTTAACTTCAAAAAATTCATTATCAAAATCCATCCTTGCATTAAATTGATCTAAGGGGGAATAAAAGGGGGAGAGAACCTACCAGATCGGACATCATCCCCAACATGCCCTTTAGACAGTATTTGCTCCACGAGCATTCGATACATTAAGACCCACCAATATATGTTTAGAACAAGGAGGGAGAAGAGAAGACAGTTGAATACATAATAGTGTAGTGGACCATCAAACTTATGCTTCTTCTTGTCCAACATCGGAACAACTTCATAGCTGAAATTTTAGAAGAAACGCATAAGCTTTAGCGATATTATAGAATCCCCCTAAAGGCTAAAGTATAGAACTCCGTATATGAACACACTAACATGTAGTATCTACCTTGTGCTCCAGAGAATCCAGAATGGATAATATATCAGGCGAAGGACTGCCCAAGAACAGACAAAGATAAGAAATGAAACATCAGCAAGCAACTGGTAGCCACTGTACTTAGAAATCTTCCCCAATTCCAGGAATACGTCACTTGCATCATGGATGGCAAGGACAATTGAACCCACACGAGCAAATCTGCTTAAGTAAAGTAAATTAATTTGGTAATATAGAAAAAAACATGTTCCAACAAAAACTAATAGGGATGGTGGAGCATTTACCAAGCATAAAAACATGATACAATAAATAATACTACCTCAATCCCAAAACTTAGATATTTTTAGCACAGTAGCTTGTCCCAAAATGAAGCTATTTCTCCACCTACCCCCTCCTCTCAACCAATCACAACCATTCTCTATTTAATTTCTTCACCTACTTTCTCTTCTCAACCAATCACAACATTCCTCCAATCATTTCCACCTACTCTCTTAATACCCGCACCCACCTCAAAAATGCTTACATTATGGGACGGATGAAGTAAAACATAAGATATCAGGTCAAAAAAATAAAATATAAGATATACTATTACTAAGACGTATTGAACTCTAAAACAAAAGATATTTGCATGGTAAATAACAAAGCAGATGATCTACCCTCATTTGTTGGAGGTACATGTGTGCATTTTGTATACGGGTGTGCCCAATTGCCTAAACCCTAACATAGACATGCATTTGTTCTTGCAACCTAGCAACTCCAATTCTCAACACTGAATAAGGCCAAGAAGAAGGGCTCTGTAGTGACTCGTTAAGTGTTCACAGCATTAGAACGACATACCAGAGGGAAACTAGACATTGATTTCAACATAGATAAGCTTGACAAATTCATAGATAGCTAATATACCTGAATATGTAAGACAATGCTATGAGAATAACAGATACTACATGATGAACCATTGAAATACCAAAATCTGAGCGCTTTATTTCCCAGAATTGAAGAGCAAATATAGAGTATGTATAAAAACCAGCAGCATACATGTACACCAATTTGAGTTTAAATCTGCACAAAAAAAATGATTTAGTAATAACTTGGGGTGATATGTGTGTGGTGAGAGACCAGGAAGGCAGATAAACTTCGTGTAGACAAAAAAACATAACAAACATGGGAGGGAGCATGTGTATCTTACTTAATTCTTTGATCTGGCCAGACCTGGTCTCCAGGTCCAACCCAGAAATTTTTTGTGCTAGTGAACCAGGACTCTTTGTAGGTAACAGACAGGGCCAAAAGTTCCGCAGAAAGGAAATATATGCACTTCCAAGCTGATTCTTTAAATTTTCTTATCTTTATCCTCCCTGCATGCGTCGCAAGATCAAGCTTCTCATCCTTCTCGAAAATCAGTCTCCTGGCTAACCACTATGGACAAAATGCTGAGTCAGGAATAGTCCATACTTCATAATCTCCCATAAAACAAATGTTTGGGAGAAAAGAAATATCAGTCTAAGTCCTAAAATTTCGTAGAGCAATCTTCCTGTTCCAAATACCACCTTGAATTTAACTCTGTGAAAAGCAGACAACAATGGCACTATCGATAATCGCACTGGACAGCATTCAACTGTATTGGTTAAAAATCTTCATTATAGCAATCCTTACTAAACTATAATAGTTGATTAGAGCAAAACACAACCGCGTAACACTTGTCAGAAAAGCCCCCCACCCCTCTCTCCATCTCACCACTCCAGTAACAATACGAAAATGGGCGTGGTGGGGAAAAAGAACCGTGAAAACCATCACAACCTCGAAGACGAAGCGGTCGAGGAGATAACGGACGGCGAAGAGGAAGACGGCGAATAAGGGGATCGCCGCGAAGTCCGAGTAGGCCGGGTAGCTCTCCGCCTCCCAGTCGACCGGCGGGACGCCCATGGCCGGCTCGCCGCTCGTCCCCCACTGGAGAGAGAGGGGGGAGGAGGAGAAGCCGAGAAGGAGCGAAGCGAGGAGATGCGGTTGCGCTCGACGAGTCGGCCCCGGCCCCGGTGTGTGGGTGTGGGGTGGCGGCTCAGCCCAACCGCGGAAGTTGGTGGCGCGGCGACCAAAAGTACTTTTTTCAACTTCGGGGACCTTTCTCGGTGACACGGTTTGCTGTGTTCGCTAGAGGCTGTTCCCAACCGGTCCCAACCGTAACGCGCACTGAACGGTCCTTTTAATACATGCTTAATTAACTACTCGTTCCAACTATTTTTGATAGATATATTTTCAAATCTGAAAATTTTATTTTTGATAGGTGTATTTCAATCCAATAATCTATCCTCTTAATGACTTTCTCGGATTTAATACGTGACTCTCCATTGTTTCACACAAGTTTGGCTATATGAGCATCGAGAAATGTAAATATTAATGGATCGCTTATTTACGAGGAATAACTATTAATCTCTCCGTTCCTTAATATAGGGCGTACCTGTTGCCAACACAAAGACCAATAAAACAGTTTTAATAGCAATTGCACTGATTAATTCTCTCCTTTCAACGTGCAAGGGCACCCGCAATGGTTATCTATAGGCTCTCTGCAAGAGATGCATGTCAGCATATTTTCCTACTTTGAAGAGATTACATGAAGAGAGAGAGCAAAGCTATCTACTAACCTGGAGATAGTCTATAGAGAAAAACGAGGCAATGCATTAGAGAGCTATAGATACCGATGTAGACATACCATTGAGGTGGTTTACTATTAATCGAGTCTATTACTGAGATATACATGTTTTATATATAGCACCTTACTTTACCATTGCGGGTGCTCTAAGAGCAAAGATAATAATATAGTCAACTTCCTACTATTAGCCCATCTTAAAGCCAACATATATAATATATTAGTTATAAGGTTGGCTGTAATTTTCTCCTCCTCTCTCTATCTCTCACTTATATATTTAATGTATGGCAAAATTTGCTACAAGACACGTAAAAATCGTGTAATTAGCTAAGGGACATCGCAAAAACATGACACTGCTCGTGAACACTAAAAGATTATCTAATTGGCCATAGGACACTGGACGGATTATTTTATTATTTTCGGGATGAAAAAGATGAGATTTTTTTTCAAATGCCCCGATTGCCCCCCACGCTCCCGACTGGGTCCGGTTGAACCAACCCAACCTAGTCGTATTCGTCGCCACCCCCACCCACCCAGAATCCCCAAACCTAACACTAACATTGCGATGGCGGCGGCGGCGGCGGAGGAGGAGGAGGCGGCTTCGCCTTCGGCGACAGCGCACGGTGACTGCGTCCTGCCCACGGCATGCAAGGTGTTCGACAGTGAGCCTGTCGAGCTGTCCGCGAAGGTGCTGCTCCTGCAGTTGCGCCCAGCGGAGGCCACCGCGGGGCTTCATGGCGGCTACTGGTGCACGGTGATCGCATCAGGCATAGACGGGTCCGCGGCGGTGGAGGTCCTCGCCCAGGTCGAGGCCGCCTGCGCAGAGCACGGCGTGCACCTCGCCAGCGAGAGCGTGTCGCTCGTCGTGGAGTGCGACTGCGACGACTCCCCCTGGCACGTCGCTCGCCGACGAGCGCATACGACCGTGCCACTTCATATACCAGCGGATGGGCGCGGATCGTTCTTCTCGCCGGACCACTGGCCGTTGTTCGTGCAGCTGGTGCGCGCCATGGAGCGTCCCGCGGAGGCGCACGAGGACGACCTCCCCGCCGCCGGCCGGCTCGCCGTGCCGTCCGGCAGCCGCACAGCAGAAGACGCCACCGCGAAGCACGTGTAAACAGTGTAGACGACGCTGGCACAGTGCGCCTCATAGTACATGTGCAGTAGTAATACCAGTACTACTCCAATTCCAGCGATACAATTACTACTACTCCATTTCATAAGGAAAATCAGATTGAGAGATGGTGACCCGCAAGGGCAATCTAGGCATTTTATAAAAAAATCTCACCACTTTCATTCCGGAAATTTTAGGTGTCCTATGGTCAATTACACAATTTTTTAGTGCCCACGGACATAGTTACGTGTGTTCCTCAGACAATTACACGATTTTTGCGTGTCCTGTACCAAATTTTGCCTTAATGTATTTGTCTTGGAGTTTGTGATAAGCTAACTCTTGCATGAGAGCCTACATCCTTAATTTTTTACTACCTCTCTCATCCACATAAGGTTATAGTAGGCTTAGAGCAGGTACAATAGCAGGCTATAAGCCAGCTATAAACATATTTTAAAGAGATAAATGAAGAGAGAGAAGAGCAGCGGGCTATAGATCTGTAGCCAGCTGCAATACGGAGTCCAAAACGTAACGTGTGTATGATAGGTAGGACCAGATATTAATAGTATAGTAACTAACTATTATATGAATTGGCGATTTGGAGTTAGCAGTTGGCTATATTATTAAACTTGCTCTTATAGCTCATTATTATATTTGCTCCTTAATTTAAGGTTTCTTTGCCGATGACCAGCATGCACATGCATTATCTCACGCGCTTTGCCCGCCTGGCATAACGCCATCATGAATGCTTGCATGCACAAACAGTAGCCCCGCCTTATATCAGGGAATCCGGTGGAAAGCAGTTACACGCTATATTAGAGAACGAAGGGAGTAGCATATTTAAATGGATGATAAGTAGAATTATTTATCTTTGGTCTGTATGTTAAGATGAAATATGACTATGAAAAGTAAATGAAGGGAGTATTAGTTATTTTTTAAAAAAGGATCAATATATTTTTTAAAAAAATAGAAACTTTTTTAAAAAACACACCGTTTTACGGTTTGAAAAGTGTGCGCGCAGAAAATGAGGAAAATGGGTTGGGAAACATGAGGTAAGAACACAGTAAAAATAATAATAACATAGACCAAAAATATTGAATATGTATAAATAGATAAATGATTTTAAACTCAAGAGAATATTCTCCTATTATATAAATATCATTTCAATAGTTATAAAACTTTTTAATTAATATATGGAACTAGAATGGTACTTGTTTAAGCGCTAAACATATGGAGCCTGATCGGTAGTGCAGCCAGCAAGCCATGTAACCCTATTACAGCTGTAGTAAATAAGCTCTTTGGTTTGGATTGGGGCTGACTACGCTGCTGCAGCCAACACTTCCGATCAAGACCATGGATCACCAGATGGTTTCTTGGTTAATCATGTAACATGCAATATGTCTAAAAGAGAGAGTTTCAAAAAGCTAACCATCATAATCATTTAGAGGCTGAGGCTGATGTAGTTTTTACTTGGTTAAATTGAAAATGCATGTACCTTTATCTTAAAAAAACATTTCTAGTTATGTTCAGAATTATAGCTAAAAGTTAATTTTTATAGAGCGATTACATCCATCAGTATATAGAGTTTGCAAATGTTCCAAACATACCATCGAATACTCGATGTTCTCCTTTAGCCTATTCCAATGTACCAACATGCCATCAAATCAATAGTTTGATGCTTTTATTTGCATTCATGATATTATTTACTTGATGTTGACAATTTATGTTACATGTGGTTCGTTGTGATTATTGCCTTATTTTTCCTCTGCCGATCTTTCAAAAAAAAAAAGTTCAACTGTCATCGTCCATGTGCTAGTTTGAAGGGTTCACCTTATTGTCAAAAATAACCCTATCAAGTTTTTCTTTACTTCTGACAAGATAACAATAATGTCGCCAAAAAATCAATATTATATAATCTTTCTCTCACAAAAACTTGGCAAAGATAAAAAAAACCGATCACAAGCATATTTTATCACTATCTACCAATAAATCTCATCATCCTTGACTAAGTTGAGATAATCAAATCATTACCCATACTTCAATAAGTTTAAGAGAATCTTACCGTACTCTTTTAAGTGACTAGCATATCGGATAATTTATCAAAAGAAAAACTTGCCACGTCTGTTTTTACAAACCCACTACCAAACAACTGCTAAATTAGTTAAACTTATCTAACCTTAAGAATGACAATATGTGATAAAGTGATAGATCGAGAAAGTAAGCAGTAGGCACGAGTAGACCGGCTAATAGCAACGGCGAATCAACGCCCGAACCGACTCTTTTATCTTTTTTTTTCCCGCAGAAGGGAGAAAATGTGTGCTAGTTATCTGTTATGGATGAAACCCTCACTCACCGACCCTCTACTTGAAAATCCCTAATGCACCAATGTACCAAATACAATGTACCTTGAATAGGAAACCGTTCCTTACTTCACTAACAACCAAACATCCACTTACACATTTTAACATTATCACACATTGACAATATCAAAATTTAACAATATACAAAATTTGTTAAAATTGATTTAGGCATCTATCGTCACAGTGAACAACGAAAAGGTGTCCTCTCCCTGTCATCTCCCTTGGCGCTCAACGTGGCGCCGAATCAACCGACCCCGACCTATCCCTCACCTCCGCCGCTCCCGACCCCACAATCCATTGACCCCTAGTCCACTCCACCGCGCCCCGCCTCAATCTTCCTTCCCCTTCCGCCGCGCTCCTTTTCCCTCGCACCACTCCACCCCCCTCATTCCCCCCCTACACCGCGACGGCCGACGAGGTCTCGGGCTCCCCGAAGCTTCCACAACAATGGCGAGGCTACTCGTCCTCCGCTCGGCGCCGTACCACCGCTCCCACCTCTCCGCCACCGCCACGTTCCTCCTTTCCCCCTCCAACTCCAAGCACCCACACTCCGCCTCCGCCTCCGCCTCATTCCCCTCCACCGCGCGCCGAATCCTACTCCCGTCGCCTCTCCGCGTCCCGGCCCGCGCCATCGAGTCCTCCCCCGGCACCACAAAGCAGGAGCCGACTCCGGCTGCCGGTGAGGGTGAGGCCCAGGAGCCGCCGCCCCCCGCTGCGTCGGCGTTCGAGGTGGAGGAGCTCGGGTGGGGGACCCAGCTCGCCGTGAAGCTACGCATGCTCGTGGCCCCGCCATGGAAGCGCGTCCGCAAGGGCAGCGTCCTTAACATGAAGCTTCGGGGCGAGGTGCCGCTAGCTCTACCATAGATATCCGATTTACTCACTACGTGAATTTTAAATGTTTCATCCTGATAGAGGCTTGGATTGTAGAGATAGTTTCTGGTACTTGATTAACTGAGACGTGGTTGTCGTCCTGTTGCTAGTTTTTAGGATGACTTGTTTTAATTTTTGAACATTTGTCAATTTTGTGACATGACCCATTTTGGATTTTTTATTGTGTTTGTTTACTGCCACAGATATCCGATCAGTTGAAGACACGCTTCTCTTCCGGGCTGTCATTGCCACAAATCTGCGAGAATTTTGTTAAAGCTGCATATGACCCGCGAATATCGGGGATCTATCTGCACATAGAGCCTCTGAGATGTGGGTGGGGGAAGGTGGATGAGATCAGAAGACACATTGTCGATTTCAAGAAGTCCGGTAAAACTATAAACTGAGCTGAATTTAGTATCTTATCTCTGTTCTTCTTGTCACTTGTCAGATGATGAGCAGGTGCTGCATGACTTTGTAGGTAAATTTGTTGTTGGTTATATGCCTGTGTGTGGGGAGAAAGAGTACTACCTTGCTTGTGCGTGTGGTGAGCTGTATGCACCGCCAAGTGCTTATGTTGCTTTGTTTGGTCTAACTGTTCAGCAAACATTTCTCAGAGGTAATTGCATGTACTATGATGACACAAAACTTATGTTTCATCGATGTGGTTATTGGTTAAACACAAACTTATTTTATGTTTCATTTTTAGCAGGAGAAAGGAACTTTACGATTTCTAGTATTGTTATGGTGCAACTAAACTACATAGCTATTCCAATGATTGCTTACACTTAATGAACTTACTTATATGTCTTCTTATGGTATTTTATACAGAAACTGTACTTCATTCTATTGTAATGTTCAATGCATTTTTTATAGTTTCACTTCTCCTTGGAACCAATTTTAGTAAGCTTGATCATACACTTTCATTGCTGTTCCACAAAATCAAGCTAATTGAATGTAGCAAGTTCCTTTCTGGGTATCTAATGCTTTTGAACTCAATTGGTAAGGTGTTCTTGAGAAAGTCGGGATAGAACCAGAAATTCAGCGAATTGGTCGTTACAAAAGTGCGGGAGACCAACTTGCACGGAAGAGCATGTCAAATGAGGTTAGGGAGATGCTAGCCACACTGCTCGACAATATTTATGGAAACTGGCTGGATACAATATCTTCCAAACATGGTAATTCAAAATAGATATACTCCACCTTTTTAAAGGATAAGTTTTCATTAGATATTTTTTCTTCTGTAGGGAAGAAAAAAGAAGAAATCGAGGAATTCATTAATTCAGGAGTCTATCAGGTTGCCAGACTTAAGGAAGAAGGTTGGATAACAGATTTACTTTATGATGATGAGGTACAGATTCATTTTAACTTTTTGCTAAGGCACCAAGTAAATTACATAAATAACTTATCTTATATAAGTTGCTACATCTACATCGTTTGCTCACATCCATGGTCAAACTGGGAATCAAAGTGATGCTTCAATCGTCAAGTTTCAGTGCTATAAGCATGCAACATATTACTGCCTCTGTCCCATATTAGTTGTCGTTCTAGGTTGTTTAGCATGGATTAAAGTTTGCTAAAAAAGACCATAGTCCCCTTTATTAAATAATGTATGGTTGGATATGGGAGGATGGTTGAGGGTAGAAAAGAGAAAAAATTAAAGGGAAAATTGGTCCTATACCATCGAAAGTTTTCAAGTTTAGTTTTGTACCATCAAAAGTTTACGGTGCACTTTAATACCATTCAAAGTTTCCACCGTTACTGCTTGTAGCATTTCCGTCCATATTTCAATCTCTCACGTGAAGTATGACAAATTACCCTGTAGAGGCAACCAGCTCCGCACGCAGCAGGCAGCTCTTTCGTTGCCTTGCATCTTTCCTGGATCTCCGCCATCACGGAAGTGGCGCCATGTCCCTCCTGCCGCCGAGCTGCTCTGCCTTCCTGCCGAGCTCTTCCCTCTATCTCCGCCTTGCTGCCGAGCTTGTCCTCTCTGCCATGTACATCCCGCCGCCCGCCACCAAGCTTGAACCCGGCCGCCGCTCACCGCGGTGTGATTCGGCTCCCCGCCGGCGAGCCCTCTCCGTTGTCCATCTAATCTCAACGGCGACGACGAGAGATTCGACTGAAGCTCCCCTCCTGAGCTCCTTTTGTCAGCGCCGGGGTCACCGGCAACATTATCTATTCTATTAGCAGGTTCTCCAATGATCCAATCCCCTCAGATTAAAACGGGCTCGGCGGTGCCGCCGCGCCGGCGACAAGATATTCCAGTTTCTCCCCCACCGATAACCATGACGACAAGGTCCACAACGACGGAACGACCTCGCTCCAGCCACGATTTTCTCCCATCTGAATGTACGCAAAGATCGGGCTGATTGAAACAACGAGCAAAATCAATCTGTTTCCCTCCACATATGGGCCTATGGAAAGAGAACGAGAAAAAAGATCGTCCCAGGAAACTGCTATGTGAAAGAAGGGTAGTACAGTCATTTTGTTTGGCCTTCTCTACGGAAAATTAAACAGAAACGAGAAAATCTAGACGGAAGTAAACGGCAGTGGTAGAAAGAGTAACGGTGGAAATTTTTAGTGGTATTAAAGTGCACCCAAACTTTCGATGCTATAAAGCTAAACTTGGAAACTTTCGATGATATGAAACGGATTTTCCCAAAATTAAATTAGAAGTGATTGAAGGGACATGTAGTTCTCTATTGTGACAACTTTTTTGGGACAAAGTTTGAATTCTAAAGAGAACTAATTTGGGACGGAGGGAGTACTTGATCCATGGATACAAAAATAACTACATGTACCTGAAGAGAAATGATGAGAATTGTTCTTTTTTTTTAAGATTTTGGAAATGTATTACATCCTCGGCCTCTGCCACACAGCACACAGCTAATAAGTTCTTTAGCTGAAAAAAAAAGGGTAGGTGAGGGGACAAACCCCCAACTACCCTAAGAATGAGAATTGCTCTTTAGACAAGTGTTCCACCTTAACGGACAGTTTGGATGAGAAGGTTCAGTTGCGACCTTTTGGGATCTAGTACAAGTTCCTTAAGAGTTGAAAAGAACCCAAACTTTCTAAACAAACTCCAAAATAAACTGAGAACATAGTTTAAAATTTGCATTTTTAATTATCTAACTTAATTCACATAATGAAATGTTTATTCCTCGTCTTTTGAGTGGCTACTATTGTGTTCTTTTTTTGGCATCATCTTATCCTATAGGTCATGGCAATGTTGAAGGAGAGAGTAGCACAGAAAGACAAGAAAAGTCTGCGTATGGTTGATTACAGGTAATTTGGATCAAACTTTTGGAAAACCGGGTGGAAACTGTTAGCAAATTACAAACAGTCCTTGCGTCAACTAGATTAACTAGTAAGGTATGTCCTGCTTAGTCAATGACAGGTAGTAGTACTAGACTACTAGTAGTAGTCATTTTGGATTTTGTATGTCGAGCATGAAGCTTTCAGTAGCTTCATGTAGCTGTTGCTTTACCTGTTTTTACTAGTGTCTTATAGTAATTGGTACAATGCTTACGGCTTACCAAAGGACAGCTAGGAGACTAGTTCAATGTGAGCTGTAAAAGTTCGGCGCAATGGTACTGTAGTAGGTCGGTTACTGTAGCATCATACTCAAATAGGTATAGAAGGAGATGTATACCCTTGTAAGTCTTAGCTTGTGCAATATATGAGAAACTTTCAGGCAAGTACCAGCGACTCACTTGTGAGGTGATTGATCCCCAACAGAAACCAACTATAGTTTAGAAAATTTTCATGCCCTTTATTTCTTTTCTCCATTTTCCACTAAAACTAAACAATAAACACCGTCATACACATTCATGGAAAAATAGCAATAAACAGAGGTCCTCTCTAGCAAACTGGCCAAACTAGATCTAACAAGGTCTAGAAATCTGCTCCTGTTACTTATTGTCTTAACGAATGCTGCCATATTCTTTTCTTGTACTGTAAAGTTCTATGTTACATTTTTTAAAATGACTTTGATTCTCTTTGCAGTAAATATTCACGTGTAAGTAAATGGACTCTTGGGTTACAAGGAGGGGGTGAACAAATTGCAGTGATCAGAGCATCTGGAAGCATAACACGTACTCGCAGCCCATTGAGTGTTCCTAGTTCAGGCATCATTGCTGAGCAGTTGATCGAGAAGATACGTACTGTTAGAGGTAATTTTATAAGTTGTCAGTTTGTACTCTCTCTCTCTCGTATGAGATCAAACAATCTTCAAATATAAACCAATGAAATGTCGACCAAAATTCTCATAGTGTGCTATTTTCACTTGACTTACTTTTGCTAATAAAGTTCATTTGGAGACAGAACATTTAAATGCTCGCTTAGACAAAGAGCATGGGTTCAAAGGGAAAACACTAAGAGCCTTATATCTCCACTCACCTTTCTGGTTCACTGTTTAGCTCCAGTTTTTGCAGAGCCATAATGTTGTTACAAAGTTGAGTGATTAATTCTTATAACTTCTCTTGAAAACTATAGATAATAAAAGTTTCGGTTGGTAATGATGGCCATGCCATGTCTTCCTTGCATGGCTCATCACATCTAATAGGCATAAAACGAGCTTGCCTCCAACAAGATAGTAGCTTCTAACAGACTTTATTCTTATCTTTAGAATCTACTCTTACATTACTTTCCATGGGATCCCCATCAGTCTCATGTCCTCTTGGTTTCACCAGTTGTCGTGAAGCTGCTACTGAACCATGCCACTGAGTCCATGCTATTTGTTTCCATCAAGTGAGGCTACTTGGCCCAGTCCTAGGTGTCCAATATTGCCATCACCAGTGCAATGTGAGGACCTAATGCAGGCTGCATGTGGTAGTTGAGTAAGAGTAGCACAACCGAGTATGGTGGCAAAGGCGCAATGTGGGCCAATCTGGAGTCCCATGGCTTTCACCGATGGAGTTGGGATGCGTGGTAGACTTAACACTTTCCTGGAGGCGCTATGTAGACTTTAGTAAAGCTTTGGTTAAGCTCTGTGGCAGAGCCACAAGTGTGGCACAGGCTGAATTCAACAATGGTGGGCAATATGATTTTTCAAGCTCTGAGCAAACCAAACATGTTCCTAATCTTGTGATGTTATCCCTCAAAACTTGTGCTGATGAATTTTTAGAATAAAGTAAACCTAAAAAAGAAAGGAAACACTAAAAAGACAAGAGGCCAAATCTTTTTACACAGATATAATAAATCTGATCATCCTTACCGGATTCAGTTCCCTGTTTTATTAATATTTCTTAGATGAGATGAAATTTCTCTCTTTTGTTGGATAGATTATGGACCATAGAAGTACCTGCTAAAGCTTATTTAGCATGTGTATATAGTGCAAATTTCTGTTAGTTCACCCATTTAACAGTGAATTCTACTTGCTATTTGTAACGAAGAGTTCCTTATCCTTGCCAGAGTCAGAAAAGTATAAAGCTGTTATCCTCCGTATAGACAGCCCTGGTGGTGATGCTCTTGCTTCTGATCTGTAAGTTATGCTTCAGATTTCACCAATTTATTAGCAGCAGAGTTTCGTTATGTATTGGTTGTTGTTATTTGAACTAGGATGTGGCGGGAAATTCGACTCCTAGCTGACACCAAGCCTGTGGTTGCTTCAATGTCTGATGTTGCTGCAAGTGGTGGGTACTACATGGCAATGGCTGCACCGGTCATTGTTGCTGAAAAACTCACGCTAACAGGATCAATTGGAGTTGTAACAGGTGATCTTTATTATCTTGTAATTTTGTGGTTGTACTAGAGTAACAATTTATTGCACGTTGACTAATAAGTTGGCACTTTTGTAATGATCTCAAATCTGAACTTTAGATCCACTATACTATTTTGGAGTCAAGACAATGAATTGAGCTGCCATTGCATGTTACTCCCTCTGGTCATGATTCATGAAAACCTGTTGTTTTCGACATCTTTCAAGTTGAACTTCTAATACTTTGAACATCAATATATTTTTGAAAATTTTAGATTGGATCATGAAAATCATATGCGTAGATTTATCTCGGAAAGTACTTACTTTCATAATATTATAATTTTATTGGTTATACAAATATACTGCAATAGAAATTAGTTGTTAAAGTTGCATTTGGAGACCGTGTCGATGTCCAAAATGACATGTTTCTTTGACCGTGTGGAGTAATTCTTATTTTCATATTGGTGTACTTGGATCAGGGAAGTTCATCCTGCAAAAGCTATATGAGCGGATTGACTTCAATAAAGAAATTATATCTAAGGGTAGATATGCAGAGCTTAATGCTGCTGATCAACGCCCTTTAAGGTAACTTAGCACAATGTTGCTGGAGCTGGATGACATGAAAGCAGTGCATGCCAATTGTCGTATGATGATCTGCAATTATTCAGTATGTTTTCACTTTTATGTTCTTGATAAAAATGTGTGTGATTTTTTGACAGACCAGAACTGGTTTTATCATTTAAAATTTATCATAAATTGCACATACTGCTTCTTATCAATTTTTGTTTAGTTTGCCATCATTATATTTAATGACAAATTATCAATCTGTAAATATGGACTCCTAAAATGTACCACCTATGTTCCAAAATGTAGCTATTTCTAGCACAGTAGCCTGTCTAAAATGAAGCTATTTCTTCACCTACCCCCTTCTCTCAACCAATTACAACCAATTTCTTCACCTACTTTCTCTTCTCTACCAATCACAACATTCATCATTTCCACCTACTTCCTTAATGCCTGTGCCAACCTAAAAAATACTTAACATTTTGGGATGGAGGAAGTAGTTTATTAGCTCAGCTGTTATCCTTTAAATAACTGTGAGATATTTAATAGACTAGATCATCTTTCGTCTTAGAACTGACAGGTAAGCCACACTGTTTTATGGGAAGTATGAAAAACAAGAACTTTATTCTGTCTATGGGTGTTTAGGTGCAAGAAGAGATTTTAACTGTAAGTTGCATTTTGATAAGAAGTTTAAATGTTGTTGTCATGTTACCTAAGTTTTTGGAGAAAATAGTTTCCTATCCAGCATTTTCATGTTTATTTCCCACCACATGGAGTGTCATTTAAGATGGAATATTATTTTCTTACCAGTTAGTTTATATGCTTCGCATGTTTTTGAGGAGTGTAACATTTTCTTACAGACCAGATGAGGCAGAACTTTTTGAAAAGTCAGCACAAAATGCTTATGCATTGTTTCGAGATAAAGCAGCCATGTCACGCTCAATGAATGTAAGGATTGACCTCAGATGTTGAGCATCTCATATCTCTTCAAGCTTGTGATGAGTTCTTGCACCACCAGGTTGATCAGATGGAGACTGTTGCACAAGGTCGGGTGTGGAGTGGCCAAGATGCAGCTTCAAGAGGATTGGTTGATTCACTGGGTGGATTCTCACAAGCTCTTGCTATTGCAAAACAGAAAGCCAATATACCCCATGATAGGAAGGTTAGAGGTTTGCTATAGGAAATGCATATTTATTGAATGAACTCCTCTCATGCATATATGCGTCATTAATGTGCATTTAGGCTTTATTAAGGGACTAATTGATAGCAGAGTTACCTGACCATAATTGATAGCAGAGTTGCATTTGAATCTTTGATGGGGTTTGAACTATTTATTACCTTTTCAATGCTTCACATTCTGATGGAGTAACCAATAGCAGTTTTTTTAGGGAGAATACTAGAGGAGCTATATTAGCTTAACGCATGGAGTAACCAAGGGCAGTTCCCTATCGACAAATAGTGTTTTGCATGTTTCATTCAGCTATTGCATTTTGGGTTCATAACAAGCTTTGCTAGTTTGCAGTTTTTACCTTTCAGAGAATAATTCTAACTTGCAAATTTTGTGAGATGACTTGGTGGAAATACATAATAGAGAGTTCACTTTCCAGATGCTTATTTTGTGCTGAACAATGCAGGTCCAGCTAGTTGAGATCTCAAAGCCCTCACCAACATTACCAGAGATCTTGTCAGGAATTGGCAGTTCATTGCTTGGAGTTGACAGGGCAGTGAAGGGAGTGCTCCAGGATGTCACTTCCCTAAATGGAGTCCAAGCTAGAATGGATGGAATATTGTTTGAAAGATTGGAAGATTTGTCTGGAGAAAATCAACTCTTATTGCTCGTAAAAGATATTGTTAATTATTTTGATTGATTCCACCAGTCAGTACCCTATGTTTTACAAACAGTTATACATAGAAGAAGAAAATGTCAACATGTCAATAATAATTCACCTTACCTAGAGGCTAGAAGCAGGTAGACTTGGGATCCGTTCAGTACTTTTGGCACTGTATATTCTATTTTGTTCTTTTCATACTGCTGCCTATGGAAATGTTGTACATGCCTTACTGAAAATTCAAGCGATCTTGATTTTCTAGTTCGCTTGAACTGGAACCCAATAGATCACATTTACTCTTTGTTTATGAGATTTTATCTATGTTACAATATGTATCGATATTCTAGTTGATTCCAGATTTTTGAAAAGGCTAGTAGAGTGATCTCCAAGTTTTGAGAGAATGTGTCTTGCAAATGGAGCTCCATTACCATAGTGAACTTATGATAGGAGCTCAGTCATGTACACTGATTGTTTTTCTCAGATTTGGCAGGTTTGGATTAGCAATGTCACCAATTCAGAGACAAAAACTGCGTGGGCAATCAATTTTGTGGAGAAAGATAGGTAACTAATTTTGCACTTAGTAGTGCCTTTACACCAATCTCTCTATTCCTTTTATGGAAATGCTCCACTACCGACTACAACAGCTTTTGCTATATTTGAGCAGTGCATACAGATATTTATCTGACCTATGTTGGTTACCACTTCATATTAGTGTTCTGAGAAACAATTTCACTGCCATTTTTTTCTTGAATACGCAAGAGTCACCACCATTTTATCACTGTTGGTAAGGAATTAAGAATTGTTATGGTCGGACGGGTCTACCAAAGACATCCAATTGGCCTGCAGCTTTGCTCTTTGCCTCAATCCACCATAGCACATAACAAGAATACAGTAAAAGATTATCCTTTTCTTGTTCCATTCATTTTCCAATAGCCAAAAAGATATTTATGACTAATGCGTCTCCCTTGAGGTTATTGCATAGGAATTTCTATTATTATAGGGGATTCTTGGATTTATTTTCTCACTATCTTAGTCATTCTTTCTTGTGAAGGTCCTTGTCTAGTGGCATGCTCCATTTATGAAATTATGTGGCTTGTCTGTTTTAGCTTATTATTAACTGTTCCAAAAACTTCATTTTATGGCCATACTCCAAATGATGATATCATCATGTTCTCCAAAAGTAATTTTTTTCTACTAGTTCCTTGGTACTTAAATCGTTTCATGATATCTAACAGATGATGATGAAAAGAAACTGGAGAAATTGCCACTAAATTCTAACATTGATGTCCAACATAGAGCAAAGATACAAAAATGAAAAATCTTAGAATAAAACGAGAAAGCCTCTTGGTTTAAGTTCTCATATTATGGCATCTAGTCTTGTAATGCTGGACACCTTAAGTCTGGACGCCTCAATTGTCAGGACCCATGAAGGTACTCTCCGTGTTCTCTACAGGGGTCTTCTCAAGCTGCTTCTGCAGTTTGGCTTGTTCATCTCTCAGCTGGCAGTTTTCGTGGGTAACACGATCGCAATCCCTGATGACATGGTTCAGCTGATCAAGGAGCTGACGATTAGTGCTGCGGAGGTGGACAACCTGTGCCCAGAGCTCACTTAGCTGTTTCTGCTTCCTCATCCGTGATCGTCGGGCAGATTCCCTGTTGGATATCATCCTTCTCCTCCTGCGCTCTTCTGCAAGACTGCGTTGATAGTCATCTGATTCATCTGAATTGGATTTATTTCCAACTGGAAGGTTGGTTTCATGGGGTAGGTGTGCCACATGTTGGTAAGATGTAGCTTGAGGCACCAGAAGACTGTTATACTGGAGGAGGAAGTCATTTGTATCTACATGGTAATGAGTTTTGAAAGAAACTGCACTTGCAGGTGACAAGTATGGAAAACTAGCAATCTCAGCAGGGTACATGCTCACTCGAGGTATGAATAGAGGGAAGAGAGGCTTGTGAAAGAAAACAAGAGGGTAGTGGGGTGGATTTATAGCACACAAGGATTTTGGAAGTGTACAGGACCCAACATCAGCAATGTTCAAATTAACTTTCTGTGCTTCTTGGATGTACAGAGATCAGGGACAGCAACAGGCTTGCATACATGAGACTGAGGTTTAAAATAGGTCCTGATGGACATCATGTAATGTTTTATTATTGTGCCGGCTTTTCTAAATGTATTGGTCCCAGTATGCTTCCAAAAGGGCCTCCATCCAGACTGTCGATTTGTGATCAAAGAAAGGACCATGAAGTGCAGGGCCCTTGGCAACATCACTAGCATCAGGTGCTCAAACCATTTAAAGAGATGGTGGGTGGCTAACAGTGACAGGCATTTGTGGTGAATTGTGGAAGGGAAATGGACTGTAAAGCTGAGGCGTATACATGGATCAAATAACTCTGCTGGCTATGATACATGCTCAGCTTATTGTTTTCAACAGAGTTGCATTTGAAGTTTTGGACACGTGCGATTTAGTTCCGGGCCTCTGGATTTCAATTCATTTTCTGAAGGATGACAGTGAGGCAAGAATACATGATAACATTGAAATCGGTTGTCCTGAGGGATGTTTATTCTGCAATGGCTTCTTCATTCTTCTGATAGATCTAATGCAACGGGAACATCTTTTAGAAGGAGAAAAAGAGGCAAGTACTAAGGTTGCCAGCTTGGTGCCTTATGACCACTACTGTGGCCCCCAGTGGAATTCCTCTTGGATAAAGAGGACGTGCAGTTCTGCAATTGGTAACTTGGCATTGATCTTCTCATCAACTGGGAAAAGCATATCCACTAGATAGCAAGCCACACCTTTTAAATAATTTCAGTGTTCTAGTTGTTTTGTCCCTTATTTTTGTTTACTTTAGGTTGAATTTAATATACTAAAAATTATGGAACCTAACAATCTTTTTTTTTCTTTTGTGAGAGAAAAATCTAGCATTTTGTTCCTAGAGAGTGGATGTATTTTTAAAGGTGTTCAGGAGTACTTAAGACGGCACTAACTTGCTCTTGATTTCACTATAAGTCCTGAATAAAAGAACCAACATATCAAATACCAATGAAACTGAAGGACAAACATTCTGATTCCTTTTTAAATGGAAATTTACTCTCATGCATAGCTACCCTACGAGGCTATGAAGATTCTTGGTATGCTTGCTCTTATTTCTATTTAATTTTTAGTTGATGGAGAGTTGGTATATATTGTTTACATCTAAGAAGCCAATAAATAAAATCCTACTAAGTATTTATCATCTGTTACTATTTGCATGGTGAATTTTTCAGATGAGATACATTCATCTTCAAAAATCTCTAGGATGAGCTGTCATTTGGTCTAGGAATGCAATCGTGCAGCTCCATCGAGGTAATGTTGCACAAAATATATTCTTATAATATTGCATATGAATATTTTGAATGGTTCATATAATTCTGATATGTATAGTTGCTCGAGATAGGATGATATGCTGTAGGATTTTCAAATTTCCAGTCGCTTGAACATAGTTATAGTTTAACATTGAGATATTTTGTTAATTCTCTTCAGGCACAAGTTTCTTTCAGGATATGGAAGTGTGTATTATGTTTTAAAAAAAACTGAAAAAAAAACGATCCACTAGATCAGTCAAGCAATTCATTATCAGGAGTTACTTAGGCAGTTGACACAAATCCTGCAGTGAACAGTCTGCAAAGTAGCAGTTTCAGAAAATCTGCAGTCTTCACTTTGTTACCATCCAGGTTCCAATTGGGGTGGGATCGTAGAATGGCTATGCTATAGAGGAGTCAGGCTCCGGGAGTTAAGGGAGAGGTCAAATTCAATTGGATTCGATTTGAGATTCCATACGGCATTAATATCATTTCGCATCCAACGCAATCCACTTCATATGGACTTTTTACATGGTCTAGGCCTGTCGTGGCTGTCTGAGGCTGTCGTCTTTGGAGGACAGGGAAATCTTATCCCGTTGTCTCTTTAGATCTTGAACACAAGAATGAAGGGAAAACTTGCAAAACAAGGTCATCATTGGAGGAAAAACAAGATCCATGGCCATTTGATTCACCTTTCCATTGTTCCCGGTAGAAAACAGACATGTCAAAGGATTAGAGATTAAGGCAATCCCAGATAAAATCAAACACCTATTGTGCCGTTATCTCAAGCATGAAGGTAATAACTGATAACCTTCGCAATCATCTTTTTTTTTTTTGAGAGGCTTTTGTCATCAGCACCTGCCTTGTTTGAACCTTTTCAATTTCTCTTTGTGCTCGCTTCACTACTAGTCACTACTCTTCTTCTAGAGCAATGTACTCCATAAATTCACAATCTGGAAACCAATCTTACTGTTGGCTAATAGCGCGAAGTGGCCAGATCAGGACCGATTGAAATGAAAATTTTGACTGGATAACCTGGTTAGCTTTCTTCTTGGCTTCCGGATTCCATACAGTCGATTGGCTATCCTTACTCAATAATGTTGATGAGAAAAACATCCAAAAAAGCAAAGACGCATCGGCCTACACAAAGATTGGTTTCCTTCTTTTCGTATACCCTTGTGAGATTCGCGTCCGGCAACTCCCATCAGCCGCATCCATCCTGCCCGTAAAGTCACCGACCTTGGACACAGAATCTTTCAGCCGTTGGATCGCGCGATTACGCGTCCTATCACCGTCGAAAGCTCTCATTGTCCTGGAAGAGGACAATAAAACTGTGCTATGCGTTTAGCCCTCTGGAAGAGGCTGGACCCATTGTAACCTAATTAGGGATGACAGGGAGTGTAGATGGTACGAGACTACGGAAAACGAGGCAAAATCTTTACGGCAAAGCTGGTAGTGATAGACTGATACTGGTGGTGCTAGGGTGATGTCTGCGCACACACGGTGCTGCTGTTCTAAAAAGGCAGCCAAGTTGGGCAGAGCCGCACGGTCACGTACAAGTCGACATGTCGATGATGATGAGCTTTGAAGAAAGAAAGGCAGGTCTAGCTATCTACTAGTATGTGCTTTCTGGAAAGATTTGGCCTGAGAGGGGTACCCAATGCTTCCCTCGTGTTGTAGCAGCGCACATGAAGTCCTAGGCCGACAATGCGAGTAGATCATATTGGTTCTCCAAAGTCCCGTTTCCTAATTCCTGCATGTTTGAACTTTCAACGAGGACTCACACTGTTCCGCCCAGGACGCACAATGTGTTACATTTTTCAGAGAGATTGCTACCTAATAGTGGGTTGAGCATTGGAACATCTAATCCAGATTTGTTGGAGGTTCTGAGGATTGAGACCCCAACATACGAATCACCCGGCAAATGTTGAAAACCGACGCGTTTGAGC